AACAAGTACAAGAAAAATAATAAAATCACAGAATCATTAAGGTTGGAAAAGACCTCCGAGATCGTCTGGTCCAACTGTTCCCCTACCACCAATACTGGCCACTAAACCATGTCCCTAAGCACCACATCGACCCTTTCCTTACACACCCCCAGGGATGGTGACTCCACCACCTCCCTGGGCAACCTGTTTCAATGCCTAACCACTCCTTCTGAGAAGAATTTTTTCCTAATATCGAAAAAAAAAAGCCATCCTGGTCTGTGTTGGGTCACCTTAGTGGCCTGTTCCAGAATTCCTGCAGACCTTGTTCACCCCATCCACCTTCTCTAGGTTGTGGTAGAGCAACAGAAAAGCAAGCTGAATAAAGCTCAGAACAGACCAACAGGTATTTCTTATGCAAAGATACTCAGGTAGAACATGTTTACATGCATTTTAAACAAGTTTCAGCTTAGAAAGTCCCATCTTTTGCCTGCATGGGGGACTTTTGTCAGTGGTGGTTGCACCTTAGTGAGGGTCTGTCATACAAACTGTTTTCTCATCAAAACTATGATGATCAAAACAAAACCCCTCTCCTCCCTGTCCTCCACAGCACCACTCCAGCTCCTGGCCAGAGGCTTTGCTGTCGCTTCAGCCGGCAGAGTCCCCAGAGGTGGCATTGGGACCATCCACCGTGGCCCACCTGAGGGCTGGCATGGTCCTGACCTCGTCCTCTGAGCTCCCTCTGCTGTCCTTGGAGAGGCACAGCCCGGGGACTTACACACACCTACATACGTGTTATTTTATATATATAAATAAATGTAGAAATGCCTGCAGAACAACTGAGGTACCTACCTGAGCATCAAAACCCTTAAACCCTTACTGTGACAGTCGCAGTGTGGTGAGATATGTCCCATGCTCGACCACTGAACTCCAACTTGCTGACCTGTGTCCTGTGCACACCACAGATGGAGATTTTACCAAAAAAAAAAAAAAAAAAAAAAAAAAAAAAAAGCCTAAAGACAGCAGCATTCAGATAGGAAACATTCCAATTATTACAAGCAAATGTAAATCACCACACTGTCCTCGTACAAAACATGTGCTGTGCTGCTAAATGAGCCACTGCAAATTCTTTAATATTCCAGTGATTTTCGTCACTCAGCAGCTACTGTGGTGGTTCAGCAGTGAGTAGGCTAAGCTGCATTTTCCTAGCAGAAAAATAATGAAAGAAAATGCAGAGATAGAGATGTAGAAAGGAAACAATGAAACTGGTGGCACAGCAGGACGGAAATGAGGAGAAAAAAAAGTTTGGCTGTCTGAAAAGGTTAAGTTGCAGGCAGCACTCCTGGAAAAGGGATCAGGGGGTCACCATCCTATTAGGAGATCAAGGGGAGGCAAAGTTGTGAAGCAAAGTGGAATAATTTAAAAGAAGAATAGCAAGAGGGAGAGATTAGGACAGCACAGCATAATTCCGGGACAGAGGTCTGAGTTTGTGACAAAGGAGTATGGTAGGACTGGTATAATACCTATCTTCTGACCAACCGGGTGGTTATAGAAAGATGCCAGCACATACTTTGAGAATGCATGAGTTCTGCTTGCATTTAAAACTGGTTGTGTCCTAGGGGAGACAGCTCAAGTGAAAAGAAATAATAATACAAATGACTGGTCGGGCAAACACCCACTACTCTGCCCTGGCAGCCTGGCCAGACGGTCTTCCCTCTCCACAGCCAGATATTGGAGTGCCCCTGAGCAGCAGAGCTGATCTCGACACATGCTGCTTTTGTCCAAAACTGCCTCTGTACAACACATACATGCAACTACCTACAAAACTGGGGGAATTCTTTTAGCTCCTCCACCTGCCTTATTTTTTTTCTCTTCCTCAGATTCTCATTATTATTATTATTATTATTTTTTCCATATCTGTTTTGTTACACTCTTTTGTATTCTCTCGGTATCCATTACTGGCTATTGTTAAAGACAAGAGGGACTGGGTTCATCTTTGGGCTGCTGTGATACAGTCTTGTTTTATGTTCTTCCTTGAGTAATGCCTCACTAAAAAATAAAACATTTGGTAAAAGGACAAGTGAAATAATCAGCTGCGTTCTTTTTTCTTAGGGTAACATAAAAGCATGCATGTTACATTTTGTTTGAATTAAGGCTATAATTGTATACACATTGCCCGGGCTGTGATGTTTCGTAAAGTGGCCACAGTATTTCCTGTACATTTTTCTTTGTGTGAGGAGTTTTTTCGTTCTGTTAAATTGCATATCCATAGAGGATTTTGGGGCACTCAGCCAGTCAATTTGGAGTTGGATAGTGGCTGTTGTGGACTAAGTCCCTTATCTGTCCCCTTCAGCTGTCTTATTTCTCTGCTATTCATGGAAACGTAAAATTAAAAGTGGAATCAACTGAGAGGCAAGAGCCCAGCAAGAGACTTAGGAAGAAAAAGTTAAGGGGGGAGATCTCTCTGCAGCTGGGATAATGTGCTGACATTTTTGTTTTTAAATATGCGTGCAGAAGATTTTGTATTTCACATATATTACCATTTCATTTATCTTTGTGGGTATCAGAGCCAGTATGAGGAGAAAATTTAAATCAGATTGATAATGCCTTTTTTTTTTTTTTTTAAGAAGTGGGATTTATGGAATTCTGGTTTACCACATGCTGTGTACTGAGAAATGATTAAGCTAGAGGAATGAATAGGGGGCCTGAAAACGGCTTGGCCATTCCTATGGGGCTATAGTAGAAACAGAAGGAGGAACCGGTTTGCGTATATACTCAATTCCATACATACTTCATATTATGTCCACACTATGGTGAAAAAAGGATCTCCTGCTATTGCAATCTGGTTACAATGGTGCAAAATCATTGTAAATAAGAATTTAAATCTGATGGACCAGACTGTCTGGTGTGCTTTATAGGATTCACAGCTGTCTTTGCACCCTCTGACTCTGGACCAGAGAGGGCTTTGTGTTTCTTCTATCCTAATGCTGCTCAGTGCTGTAAATGATGACAACTTCGTATGTCCCTCGATGGCCTACATTGCAGGGGATGCAGAGGGATCTGCTCATACCAGAAGGAAAAGGGAAGCAGCATCTCTACTTATTTAATAATGTGAAATATTTATTTTTTTGATATTATTTAAAATATATTTTATATACTGTATTATTATATTATTTTATATATAGTATGTATAATTTATATATTACATAAAATAGATGAAAATAAAATGTCGCAAACGGAAAGAAAGCACAAAGGCAGGAATAAATTGTTTTTCAAATCAGAAAATGTAATGAAGCCATAAAGACCACTGCTGACGTGAGTGTGGTTGATTTGGCTGGTTTCCACTTCCTCCCTCCCGCTGGGCACCTCCGCTAGCTGCTGAGAGAGAGGGGACATAAAACTCAGGTACGTGAGGTGTTGTGTTGACGAAAACGAGTATATCAAGCTTGGCATCTTGTGGACCTGCCTCTCCACCTGATTAATGCTGGTGTCTCAGGCCATGGCCACGCTGCTCTTTGAATCACCCTCAGAGCTGCTGCTAGGGGCCACTCCCTTCCCCTCCTGTCCTTGTGGAGTCACCAGCATTTGGGGATCAGAGTGCTGATGCTGGAAACCAGCCTTTCTGAGCCCTTCAGTATTATTATCTTGTGGCTGTGAGAAAGAATGGGTAAGGGCGGTGGCACAAAGGACCTCCCTTTACAGCAATGACATGGATTTACACCAGATTACAGTGCTCGTCTAGTCACCAACTGATGAGGCATGAGTCCCAGCCTGGCCCAGGCCTGTGCTCACAAGAGATCTCTTCTGCCTTGATTCTCTGATGCATACAGATGTATGAATTCTTGCTTGCTCAACAGAAACCAAGCTAAAAAAAGAAGGGCAAGCCCAAGGCAGTCCCCACACCTGCAGCCTGCTCTGAAGGCTCTCCATCTGTGCCTCAAACATGATCATCTCCTACATTTCTTCCTCGTGATCCTGCTTCCTTGGCTCTTACTCCTTGTTTCTCCATGCAGCTTCCAAGTCTCCTCCTGATTTTCAGTGCTCCTGGATGATATTGCAAAGGATAGAGGAGGCTTTGATCAAACCCACTAGAACTTCATGGGAATTTCGTCCCAGTAACTACAGCCAAAGCAGTTTGTACAGGTCTCCAGGTCTTTCTCCAGTTTCTGAAGGCCTTGTGAGAAGGTCTGATCCCTAGTTACTTCCAGAATAGAAAAACAAAGCCCATCTGCTAGGGTATTTATAGATTCTTTATGGCTCAGGGAAATTTCCTCTCTATCTGTTATCTTTTGCTAAACAACGATAACATTTTCTGTCTTTTCTTATGTACATTAGAGCTGGAGAAAAGCTACTTAGGAAGGGAAGCCTCTGTTCTTGATAAAAGACCTTTCTCAGTGAGTCACAAAGCAATCAGCTCCCTAGCTCAGTTCACAGTATATTGCCTGCTCTTTCAGGGACAAAAATTCACTATCCCCCTTATATAAGTATTTCCTTTGTATGTGGAGAGATTGCCACATGGTGGCAATTTACATCCACTTTACAATTGTATGCACACAATACCTAGCCTAGCCTTGTTTCATTTTCAAGTGTGTTGTTTTTTCAGCCCATCTTGTGCTCTTATGAAATGTTAGCACTTCATGTTAAGATCATCTGTTCTTCTTCCCCTGTTTTTGTTGAGGGTGTTTGTCCCTCTCCTCTCACCCTTGCCCCCCTACTATGCTTTGAATACCATCATTTCCCGCTTTACTCTGCCGTGGTGCAGCCTCACCTTGAGTACTGTGTGCAGTTTGGGGCACAACAGTATAAGAAATATAGAAAACTGTTAGAGAGTGTCCAAGGGAGTGCTACAAAAATGGTGAAGGGTCTGGAGGGGAAGATGCCTGAGGAGCAGTCCCTTGGTTTGCTCAGCACCGAGCAGAGCAGGCTGAGGGGAGGCCTCATGGCGGCCTGCAGCTCCCTCATGAGGGGAGCGGAGCGGCAGGCGCTGAGCTCTGCTCTCTGGGGACAGCGACAGGACCCGAGGGGACAGCATGGAGCTGGGGCAGGGGAGGGCCAGGCTGGGGGTTAGGGAAAGGTTCTGCACCCAGAGGGTGGTTGGGCACTGAGACAGGCTCCCCAGGGCAATGGTCATGGCGCCGAGCCTGAAGGAGTTCAAGGAGTGTTTGGACAATGCTCTCAGACGTATGGGTTGATTTTTGTGTGGTTCTTTGTAGAGCCCAGAGTTGGACACAGTGATCCTTGAGTGTCCCTTCCAACTTGGGATATTCTATGAGTCTGTGATTGTTTTCTACCTCCTCCCAGTCTTCCTGCAAAAAGTGAACACACGAACACTTTGGATTTTACGTACTCCTTGGCTAGCTTTTCAAAAAAGCCAGATAAGCTTCTTTTCCTTTTAGTCATGAGTAGGATGACCATGGGGGCAGCTGGGCAGAGCAGGGAACTGAGGCAGATCCAGGGCAGAGAGTTTAGACTGACCGCAAGTACATGCTCAGGACAGCTTTTTGCAGCCCTTTGCTCAAATGGGCACAGTGAGCACGACTTTGTGAAATTCAGACGTCTTTTTAAGAAATTCACACAGTACCTTAAAAACAAAAAAAACAACAACAAAAAAAGAAAATGCTACAAGAGCTCTCTATAATACTCATGTTGTGAAGGCACTGATGATGCTCCCAATGTCAATCGTGATTTCCATTAAACATGGAGGTGCAGGGTCCAGCGCTCCCTTCTCTCACTTCTCAAGAGCACCGTTCTGAGGTCGCTGCCCGCTGTTTGAATTCTAGCAGAGAAGGAAAGGATCTCACTCCAGAAACAGCAACAAAGAGAGGGCTCCTCACATAGCAGAAAAGCCAGAATGTCCCTGGAGTGATTCCAGAGGCTTTTAGTCTGAAAGACTTTTACAGCATCACTGAAACACGAGATCTTACTTTTCAAGAGTCCTGATTATAGATTAGTGCCTTTTGTTTTTCCTCATGATTTCTTTTCAACAGAAATTTGTTAAGAAGTGTTGAAACGGACCTCTTACTGTAATTTGTGCCAATTTACCTTTTTTTGTTGTTGTTGTTGTCATGTGTTTAAAGCAGCATTTCCTCTATATCAAATTTAATTCATAGATTGCCAGAGTACACTTAGGAGTGTATTTGTCAATAAATATTTAGGATCAAGCGTTATTTTTTGCTATTTAACCATCATAACAAACATACACTCAGTAGACAGTCTGAATAAAATTGCATTGTATAAAATTGTTCTCTGTTTTGAATTATATTTTTTATGGCAGATTTAATCCTCTGACAGAGAAAATTCAATATGTAGCTGCATTTATATTACAGATACAGTCTTCTGCTAGCCAACAGATAAGCTTTTTATCAGCAGCCATGCTTCTGTGGCACTCTTCTGGGCTGCTGCCAAGCTCTGCCTTCTTTCCTTTCATGAACAGATCAATGTGCAAACATTTAAAAACCCTAAATAGCATAATAGATACTTGAATGCAAGCTGAAAAAAAAATCAAAACTGTTGCACCTACATATTGTAGCTAATGCAAATCTACAAAAACAGGTAAATAAGGAAGAGTGGTAGCACATAGCTACCTTTTCCAAAGCTGCCCTGCCCCAGAGACTGCATGCATCAGCTTTTCCTCTAATCCCCAGCGGAAGCAATCTCCCATGCCTCTGCCACATCACCCCTCACACAGAACATACACCAGCCTCAGCTGCGGCTAGTAATGCTGGAAAGAGGAGAGGTTACAGCGTGGCGTGTTTGTTTATGAGCAATGGCAAGGTGTGATGTGTGTGTGTACCAAAAACACACATCCACGGGTTAGTACTCTAGCCTAAAATTCAGAGATAGCAGCAGCTGCAACTGCATTGTCCTCGGTGCTTGCTGAGGGCATCCTCCCCTGCTAATTGAGCAACATGCATTTATAACTGTGCAGCGAGACTCCTCACCTTACACTGCCAGACACACGCTGGCATTAGCCCAGATGTGTTTTGTCATCTTCTGGTTTTGTGAACTCTCTCTCTCTGTAGTTCTTTTTGCAATGGAATAAGTGCCTGTGGAGAAAAGATTTTTTTTTCTCTGTTACCCTTCAAACTGCAGGACGTGTGCTTTGAGTGATGCCCCTTAGTGGGAGCGATGCTGGAATACTGGGATCAAAAAGTTCCCCATGGGTGGGGAAACAGCCGTGGTAAAAGAAGAAAACTGAAGAAAGTGAAGTGACCTTTATGGACAGCTTTAGAAGAAAAAAAGCTGAGAAAAATAATAAAAAAAAGGAACACTAATTGGAAAGGGGTTAATGTGTGAGGGCATTCTAAAATATAAAGAAGTACAAGAAAAGACATGGGGAAACAGAAAAAAAAAAAAGATGTAAGCAATGAAACAAGAGAGGCAAAAAGATGAATCAAATCTCTTTACTGAGGGCTTGTACTGCAACCTGCCTCATCGTCTTTTTAATACATTTATAAATAAACTTCATTAGCTTTTTTTTTTTCCTGCCGGGAGGATATAAAAGATGCTAATGAGTTCTTACAAAGGGTAAATAGTTTAAGGGGATGATATTAGTGATACTGAAGTATTAAAATAAAGATCAAAGCCGTGACTGCCAGAATAGGGTTTCTAGGTTATTCTATGCAGTTACAGTTCTAACAGATTAAAGACTCATTTGAACATGAAAAGAGGAAAAATCATTGGGATCATCTCTGTTATAAGAATGGCTTGATTACAAAACATAGTAAAGGCCCGATTCAATCAGGCTGATCAGGCTGTGCAGAGCTTTAGGAATAACTCCATTAACACCAGTTAACATCAGTTAACACCAGTAGGTTCTGTTTCTTGGCAAAACTAAGGGTGTCCAAAGTTAGTTGGTGGGGTTTGCAGGCATCACTCATGCTTGGTGCCAGTTTTCAGTGCTTAGATCAGTTTCTGTTCTGGCCTCTGAGGCAGCAGAGATGATAGCGGTGTCTTGATTGCTCACCCCCATCGTCACTTGCCTTTGGATAGATGAATGCTTGTCATGAGGAGGAAAACCTGTGCTCTGCAACCGAAACCCCTCAGAGCAGTTAGTAGAGCAATCGTAGGCGCTAATTTGGTCAGCAGCCGATGGTGCCACATGGCTGCATGTTTCTGTGCTCGCCCTCTGCAATCGCCTGGAAGCCAGCACTGCCTTGACAGATGAGCTGGGACACCAGCCCACGCGGCTCTCCCTTCTTTCAGAGCCAGAGCTCTCCTGGACAGAGACGTCTGAGGCAAGCTTATGAAGCAGGTGGAAAAAGATAAAGGTCACATCACAGGGCAGAGAAGACCCACTCAATTTTTTGGCTTGCATTCCAAATGTCATCTCTTACGGATATACACTTTGAGGCCACATCGGGCTTGTGGAGGAGTTCGGTTTGACTGATCACAGTGGCACTTCAGAGATGCTTTCTTCCCTCAGTAGCCAAGGGCAAAAAATATTACACTTTTATGTAAACTGTAGAGCAATGGTCAAAATGGAAATTTGAAATTCACTGTATTAGAAGTCTGGAACTTGTCAGCCATGGCTAAAAAGCTCCTGTAAAGGTGTGCTGGTAGGGTTTGGTGTTTGTACCCAGTCATTTTCACCCGTTCCAGTCTGATAAGCCCAGGGTTTTTTTTATATGTCTCGGAGCTGCTATTACCAATATACATGTACACTTTTTGATTGCTCTCATCTAACACACAAGACAAGTAAAGAAAGAAAGCAAAAGTCCTGGGGAGAAAATAATAATAATAAAAAAAGCTATGGTGCCTTCCTAATTATGTTAGGACTGTGGCTTCCAACATATATGTGAAAATTGTGATTTGGATTCACCTGTACAGATGCAGGAAGTCTTTATGATACATCCCTTCCCACTGCTGACAGATGGTGAAGCAGAGAATGGAGGCTCTGGAGGTGACAGCATTTCACCCCCAGCTTTTTCTTGCAGTGCAATAGCACAAGGCAGCTGTGAAATCAATGGTATTTGAGAACATTTCTTGCACGGCTGAGGTTTCTGGGTGGAGGCAGCCCAAACACAGCCCTTCTATCAACTCCAAGTCTTGGCACAGAGGTCACATGAAAGAAAAAGATACCTAGACAGAAGACAGGCGGGTTTATGTGGGTCAGGGCTTTCTTCTTTTGTGTGCCAGAGGACAAACGTGCCCCTTTCAACCTTGAACCGAGCAGCTACAAAGCTTGAAGCCACCCGGGACTTTCTTTCCCCTCAGCTTGTCATGAGAACATCTAGGCAAGAAGGAGAGCTGCAGAGAGGAAGGAAGGCAAAACCGGGAACCTTTAATATATGCGTGCTCTCTGTCCCCTTCCCTCCTTTTCTACGCATCAACAGTTTTAATAACCTGGCAAAAAGAAAACGCGAAACTGGAAAATCCTTTCCTACCCAGTGCCACAAAATGATCATCGTGTATTAAGAAACATTATGAGAGAGGCGATGTGTTTAATACGGACTTTTTTTTTATTAGATAGGAGTTAGTAGTGCAATTTTTAAAAGCTGCTCTGACCCAACCAGCTTGCATTTTAATAAAAAGGCATCTGCTTGGAGAGCTTAAGTCCCTGGAGACGTGGCTTTCGGACAAGGCACACGAGCAAAATAAATAACAGCAGCGCGTAACCTCTCCACTATGAAAACAAACCGAGTAAACCAGACGGGAAAGGGGGGCTCCCAGCGCTGTTCTTCCTTCCGAGGGGACTGCCTTCAGCCCCTGAGCTCCCGTTTGCCACCCACCCCCGGGGGGTGTTCAGAAAGCCCCCGTGGCGCTGAGGAAAGGCACCCCCGCCCCACACAGCACCTCCACAGGCACCGAGGGAAGCCCCCTCCGCCCTGAGAGCCCCTTCCCAGGCTGTTTTCGCCCTCCCCAGCCGCGAGGAGCGCGGCCCCTCATTCGCTGCCAGGGGCTCCTCCCGCCTCCTCCCGCCCCCATAAAGCCGCCCCCATAACGCCCCGCCGGGCCAGACCGGGCGGCGTCCCCGGGCTGCCGGCCCCTCGGCCCGGCCCTGCCGAGCTGTCCGCGCCCGCCGAGTGCTGAAGGAGAAGGAGGAGGGCACCGGGAGGAGTGGGGAGGGAGCCCCCCGATCCATCCCCGTGCACACGGCGGCGGCCATGGAAGAGGAGCTGAAGTGCCCGGTGTGCGGCTCGCTCTTCAGGGAGCCCATCATCCTGCCCTGCTCGCACAATGTCTGCCTGCCCTGCGCCCGCACCATCGCCGTGCAGACCCCGGAGAGCGAGCAGCACCTGCCGGCCCTGCTCCACCCGCGGGGCACCGCCGCTCCGGCCCCGAGCCCAACAACAACAACGACAACCCCGGGGCCGCCCGGGGGCTCCGCCGCCCCCTTGGACCCGGAGTGCTCGGCGGGCGGCGGCGGGGACCACGCGGACAAGCTGAGCCTGCACAGCGAGACCGACAGCGGCTACGGCTCCTACACGCCCAGCCTCAAGTCCCCCAACGGCGTGCGGGTGCTGCCGCTGGTGCCCGCACCCCCGGGGGGAGCAGCAGCAGCAGCAGCTCCGCGGGGCGCCGTCCCCAGCCCCAGCCCCATCCCCGGCCCCGTGGGCTCGTCCCTCACCTGCCCGCAGTGCCACCGGAGCGCCTCGCTGGAGCAGCGCGGCCTCCGCGGCTTCCAGCGCAACCGGCTGCTGGAGGCCATCGTGCAGCGCTACCGCCAGGGCCGCACGGCCAGGTGCCAGCTGTGCGACCGCAGCCCGGCCGAGCCGGCGGCCGTGCTGTGCGAGCAGTGCGAGGTGCTGTACTGCGCCGCCTGCCAGCTCCGCTGCCACCCGGCCCGCGGGCCCTTCGCCAAGCACCGCCTGGCGCCGCCGCCCGGCCAGCCCGGACCCCCCCCCGGGGCCGAAGGGAAAGGGGCGGGCGGCGGGCGCAAGCCGGCGACGTGCGCCGAGCATGAGCTGGAGCAGTACAGCATGTACTGCCTGAGCTGCCGCAGCCCCGTCTGCTACCAGTGCCTGGAGGACGGCCGGCACGGCAAGCACGACGTCAAGGCCCTGGGAGCCATGTGGAAGCAGCACAAGGTAAGCCCCGACGCCCAAAAGCCTTCACTCGGGGTTTTCTGGCACCAGCAGGCTCCCTCCCACTGCCACCATGCCTCATCCCAGTGTCAGACCTCAGGCTGGTCCCCAGCAGGCACCTGGGGTTACCAGCCCCACCAGCTTGCTTGGCCATGCCATCATCTTGTCCGTTCTTCCATTTCACCTCCTGGGACTCTTCCCACCACCTCTTCCTTCCTGTCAATGCCGCAAATTGGTCAAATGGCCCGCAGCCACCCAAAGTTTTTAAATGTGAAGGTGTGGCAGGGAGGCTCGCAGGGCACCGTGTTGTCTCCCGGTCCTCAAGGAGGTCTTCTCCTCCCCTCAATACTCAGAGGGCAGAAGGAATGGCTGGGGGACCTTCATGGAACAAAAGTGAGTGAGGAATAGTAGGACAGGCTCAGGCAACAAGTACGGCCTCTTGCGATTCCCATGATGTTGTGTCTGATCCTTCCCTTAGCCCTTCCTGGAGACCCCGGAGATCTCAGAGTCAGTGCTTTGCAGCACAGGTGGTGCAAGAAAAGTCTTTGCAACCATTTGAATAAAGAGCAAGACACGACCATAAAAGTTTATAAAGTGCACGAAGTTAGCTCATTTTTATTAAAAATCATGGACCCTGGGAAAGTTAGTTAGATTCCCCTCTGTATGTTCATTTGTATTAAAACATCTGAGCTGAGAGCTGTCATTTGGAGCGTCCAGCTATGTTGGGGGCAAAGGAGTCCTACAGGTCGTGCGAAGGGTACTTGGCTAGCTCTGATGGCCTCAGGATCTCCTTCTCTGCTGCAGATAGCACTGAAAGGAGCCCAGAGAGATCCTTTCAGACACTGCCGGAAAGGACAGAATCAAGTCAGATCTCCTCATCCCCCAGCCATGGAGTGGCTGAGCATGAGCTAGCATAATGAAAAACACTAGCTTTTGGTTTTAAGACCTCCAAAAGATGCCACTTGGTGTTGAAATCCATAGCTTGTCCATCTGAGAAAGACAAGCTCTTTCCAAATGCGTGTCCATTGCATACTCTTGGCCAAGGGCTCAGCCTCTTCCTCACTAATGTGGCTGTTACTTGTGCAAGGGAGAAGTTCTCTCAACTCAGAAGGAGCAGATCACAGATCTGCAGCCATCACTAAGCTGCTAATGGCAGATTCCAGTTCTGAGCAGAATTATTTCCACAAGCAGTGACCGAGCTCACTGTTCACATGTGGTTAACGTTTTGTGTGTTGTGAGGGACCGGCTTGTGTTGTGTTACAATCTACTTTGAGTTAAAAACTGGTTTGGTGCCTTTTTGAACAGTGTGATATACTCTGCTGTGATCAGAGTGCACCGTCGGTCATTTTCTGATGTCACCAGAATGAACAAGAGCAAGTTGGTTTCTATTTTTACTGCATTTTTTTCTGGGAGTATGGTATCACTGAATGTGATTTCTCTTGATTTATAGATTCAATCTTACTGTGAAAAGGCTGGTGAAAGCCAAAAACAAAAAAAAAGACTCAAAATTAACTAATTTGGGGACTCTGAAGTTGGTCTCCTGTGAATATTACTTTCCCCAGAACAATGTGCTTGGCTGAAAGTAAATATAGTGGAACCATACAGTCAGACAGCCTAAATCAGCAGCTCACATTCTCTTGGAAAAATTGCTCTGGAGTTAGATACTTAGATACACATGCTAGTGCCATGTCCCCCTCCTCTTACAGGGCGTGGTTTCATCCCACAGCAGCAAACTTCAGATGAACAATTTCTCTACCGACCCTAGAGCTGTTTGTCCAGAGCCCCTGCCCGTCTTCACCTTCAGGACCGTTTCCACCCACTTCTGCATTAGTCTTCTGCTCAGGCTCTTCAACTTCTCCATTGTCTGAGCCTTATGTAGTGATTTGGTGGGAAATTACAGAGCGTGTGAACTCATCCATGCAGTGTTTCAGACCATGCAGTGCGAATGGCATCTCCCCTCAGCCGTGCTGCTGCCCTTATGGCTGTTCAAGACTGGTAGGCCCCTGTTAATGGTGCAGGTTTCCCCATTACCCTGCTGCACGTAACCTCTCCTTTAGAGGTATGAAAAAGGGTGGAAAACAAAAAGAGGGCCCTGATGGCATGAAGCAGGGTAAGTAAATCCACTGAGTTAGGTGGGCTGTGTTACGTTCACTGACATGACTTGTGCATCTGGACCAGCAGCTTGAGGTGATGAAGTAAAAGTACTGCCAGAGAACTTGGTTGAGGCATTCAAAACAAGAACAGAGGACCTATGGATATGAGGAATGATGGTGGGCATGTCTCACCTCTGCACTTCCTAAATGATTGTGGACGCATGGAATTGGAGTCTGCATGCCTGCTTTTGTTTGCTGGTGTGAAGGCTTGTGCTCCCCAAAACATGAGGACTCTTTCAGCATTCAGCGCCAGGGTAAGCTTATCTAATCAATAGCCAATCTGCTGCTAAAGAGAGAGAGAGGGAAAGCAAGCTAAACGAACACGAGCTGTGTGCTCGAAAAAGGACATTGGCATTATCTGGTTCATTTTCTACAAAGGAAGCATCAAAGGAAGCATCAGTCTTCCATGCCTATCTGGATTTAATTACTCACCCTCATTATCTCCCTGTTCCTGTGTTTGATAGAAGCAGAAACTTGGCATCCAGCATCCTCACTTTTTTTTTGTTGCCAGAGCAGGTATGATAGTAAAGACAACCATCAGCAGAGTACCGTTTGTCAGGAGTTATTAATTATCATAGTCAATGGAGCTTGTAATGTTTCAGCTTGGCTTCAAGTAAATATTCTGCAGCACGCAAGACTGCTCGGAGCGTACAGGGCATTTTATGGTTTGGTTGGTTTACCGAGGGCTTAGTCATGTAGCCCTGTTTGATTTTAATGGGAAGTGCAGGACCAGATGCCACTGCTTTGTAAGGTATCCTTTGCAATCGCTTTGAAAAACAAGGCTATTATCTCTAAGTGGGTTTCATAAATGGAGGTCTGGTCTTCTCCGTGGTTCCGTGCTGCAGCCGCGTTAATGCAACTGCTGTTTTTAGTGAGCACGAAAATTCCCTTAAGAGCCATCTGATCAATGACTTTGTCAAGTGTCTGCTCCAGTCCCTCGCAGTGGTAGCGTGACTGGAGCCGGGCATGACGGTGCGAATTGACGGCAGCGCCTGTGGTGGCCACAGTTTGTCTGCGTTGGCTTGGGTTTCTACCTGATGGCCACAAATAATTTTTGGCTCATCTTATCAGGCAACATACACTTTGATTTGTAAGTGAGGGTTGATGTTGGAAAAGTTCTACTTTGTCAGGACCAGTCCTTGGTTTTGCTATGACAGAAACACTGGGACAGTTGTGCTGGGCTGGTCCTTGGCAGAACTTCTGATGCTCGTGCCCCTTGTTTCTTTCTTGCTTCCTCCCCACTGCTTTGTCATGCGCCAGTTCCACCTTGTCATGTGTCAGCTGGACAAACCAAAGGCCCAAACACCTTGTGGGTCAGGTAGAAAGTGCCATCAAAAAGGGTGGGCTTTAAATCATGGCAGCCACAACCAGCACGCAGAGGGCTGATCTGCAGTCCTGATCAGCAGGTCTGGCAGAAAACAGGGACCCTTACAAGGAGTTAGAGGATTTTTTTGTGGCCTCAGGTGGCTTTTCTATCAAATATGCTTACTTTACATTTTTGTGAGGTGGCAGGATTCTGTGTAAGAGAATATTAAATATTTAACTATCGAGCAACTAACACGGTAATTGTTGATCTTCCTATTACATTTGTTACAAAGGAGTTTAGTAAAGCATATTTAATTTCCAGATTTGACACTGATGTGATGCCTACAGCTGGGCTTAAAGGGTAAAAATTTTGTGACAGTGAGGGAAAGGTGTGAGGATGGCTGCTTTCTCTATAATTCAGCCCCAGTTGTGGAGGATGTGTAGGGGACGTTCAGGCAGGAGGTAAGCCCTGAACCCTGTCGGTGTGAAGAAGTGAGCTGTGCCCTTCTCAGGGATGGAGTAATTCACTTCCCTTCAGGAACAAGAGGGAAGCAGAGAATGAGTGGGGACTTCCAGGACTGCAACTAGGTCTACTCTTAGGGGCTCACAGCTTTTGTGCCTTCCTTCATAGAAGGTGCTGTCTCAAGACACCCTCTAGTCCTAGAGCCAAAGAGACTGTAAACTTTTGGGGGTCTGACATTATCAAGAATACTTAATTTTCCATTTCTCCATCAATTATTATATCTGTTTGCTGAGGATATTACGAGGGCATTGGCAATCTGATGTGGCCAAGTGCGACGAAGAAGCAAACCCAGAGGAGAAGGTCTAACTGGTAGGACTTGGCACAGGAGCCCAGAGCCCCATGCTCGGTGTATGCCCTTGTGAAGAAGGCTGAGTATGACAGCAAGAAGAAAATGTCTTCAGTGACACCCACAAGGGGACCCATCCCATCTTTCCATGCTACACTGGCAGAAATCTAATGCTGGATTTGGGCTGCCAGATGGAAGAGTGTGGTTTCTGTAGTCCCAGCCAGGCTCCAAGGAAGCTGCTCAAGGACTGTGCGCTCAGACCACGGGTTCCTGTAGATGGAGTTTCCTTCCAACCCAGAAAGTCCATCAAGAAATGTCTTGTTCAGTTTAGAGAGATCAGGTGCCAGCTGAGCAAAGGAAAAGTTGGCTCTCCGGTGTGTACTTATGCAGTGATCAAGTCCTCATATCTCACCTGTCAAAAGCTATCAGAATAGGTTTTTTCAGCTTCTCCAGAAATGTTCACCCGTTTCTTGGATTGGAGCATGGAAAACTGAAGCCCCCAAAAGACATTACTATGAAGTCTGAAAACACAGATTTGTCTTTGAAGTCGTAGGTTTGGTAGAATCTACTACATTTAAGATTTCAGGCTTTGGAAATAAAAAACTGTTTTTGAAAGCACTTGGGAATTTTTTTGGCGTGACAGATGCTGCTGTGTAAGACTATTATTTTGTTATATATGTGGGTAGTTGTCTTGTAAAAAGTATTTTGAGTTAGAGTCACTGTAATAAAGTGTAATGTGCAGACACAATACTTGACTGCCCCCACATGCATATTTCTCCTTTATTAAAACTTACTACAATTAAAATCTTAACTCTTCTCTTCAAGCACAAACAGTCTGTGTGTAAGAATACATGTGACAGCACATAAACCTTTTAGCTCACTGTTAATTGTTAAAAGCAAGGATTAGTAAGAGATTTTGCATTTTATCTCTAATTTTTCCTTCTATTTTTTTTTTCTTGCAGGCACAGCTCTCTCAGGCTTTAAATGGTGTTTCAGATAAAGCAAAAGAAGCTAAAGAATTTTTGGTTCAGCTGAAAAATCTATTGCAGCAGATACAGGTATGTAGAATATTAGCTGTTGTGATAATACCTAATCAATAGAACTGAGTGAATAATTTATCTGATGACTTTGTCTCCTTTGCTGTTCTCATATTTCCTGGAATCGTCTAACCTTTCTTGAATGTATTTGCTAGGCAAAATTACTCATCAAATAATGCCTGTAAGCCTCTTCTAGCTTCCGGATTGTTTGCTGCTTATTGCACGAAGCTGATATTCAATACTGGATGCTGGAGCTGTGTTGATTTGTATTTGATTGAATCCAGCCTCCTGCCTGATGATAATTCTTTGAATTTAGGATAAGTTCTCATTTTTTACCCACTTACAATCTACTACTTGTTTTTCATCTAGCAATTTCTAAAAATGTACTAATTTCTGGATAAAATCCAGACAACCTGTTTATTGGAGAATTTTTAGGAAGTCAAAAATAAGGAAAAAGAAACTAAATCAATTTGGTTGTCTATTGAAGGAGAAGATATTTCCATGCACATAATTGCCGAGCTTCAACAGTGAGAATAGGGCTCATGGTGAGTGCAATAATTGAGAACACAAACCCCAAATGAAACAAGTTCTATTTTCAACCAGATTTAAGGTCTGATCAGTGTTGGAGGTTAGGTGATCCTTAACTTCCTTCTCACCCTGCAGAGTGGGGCTGGGGATGTGCTGCTGTGCTTCGAGCTTCACTGATTCCAGGAGGGGACACTTGCTATCTGCTGCAGCAGCGCTCTGCTGCCGTGTGTTTTCTGTGCGATATGCATCATCTGCTCCACGATATGCCTGCTCATCTTTCATCAACAAGCAAGTCCTGTTTCTGTTACTAACAGAAAGCCAAAGCCCAAGTTCAAAAATCTGTATTCGGTTTAGAACGTAATCATTAAAAAAAATGACACTTTATGCTGCAAATTATGGATTCGTACCACAAATGCTGCCAGAGCTCGTGGATTGCCACAGAGCAGCATAATTACCCACCCTCACAGCCTTCTGTGACAGGGTGGGAAGGAGAACAAGCAAAGACTAGGAAATTGGTTAAAGGAAAGAACATCTAGCTGAAAGAAACCAGCATGCAGCCACTGACTGGTGCCTGTCACGTGTCATGTTTTGGATGCAGTGTGAGGTTTTTCTCAGCTGACCTTAGCTATTTAAAAGGTAAATAGCTCATCCAGCCTAGTCACTTGGGCTTCTGACATTTTCCAAGGAGAAGGAGAGGTACCTGTAGAGAACCGTTCTTCCTATATGTACTGGCAGCTATTTTAGGCTGGGATAACTCATCCAAAACAAGTCTGTCACCAGTCTTTTCTTGAGTCATCTACCTCCATTAAAAATGTATTTTTTCCCTCTTGAAACCCAAAGGTGGCCTATTACGACTATTTATGACTATGCTGTAAAATCCTGTAATGTGTTTCAATAAAATCACTGGCAAATTGCTCTGCTTAAGGGAGCTGCTAGAATTAGATCAAAAGACCAAGTAATTTCTTTGATGCTGCTCATTGCTTAAATGCTAGAGGAGGGCTTGAAAGTGGAAACAGTATCTACCAATCGCCCTCTAAAATTCAGGTATGTCTGGACACAAAGCTGAATGTGAACTTCACATGTTGAGCCATTCTCCAGCATCAGGCTGAATGAGGACATCAAATTTTAGCAAACTAGAACATAAGGACAAATCAGCTGCATATGTATTAGTAAGTGAAACAAGGCTAGGGTATAACTGAGTGCTAGATGATGATCACTCACACCATCTGACATGGCACGGCTTGTCCCATGACAAATTGCACTCTTCCCAGGTGAAGCCTGAGCAGCACTGACCAATGGCATGTGCTGGGGATTGCTCCCAGTAGGCAGGTTTGGTGCAGCCATGCTGATTTAGGGGAAGGGATTTCAATGTGTCATGAGCTGATCTGTGCCTTTTGGCCTTTGGACCAAAGAACAGTTCTTGGACTGATTTTTGAGGAGGTAGATATAATTTGCATGGAGGTACACAGAACCATGTATCTCAGTGCAGGGTATTTCTAATAGCTGTCTTGTGGTTACCACACATGCATACAGACACTACTCAGCTAAAATGTATTTTTACACAAAGGAGTGAGCCATATGTTCATTTTATTATCCTGTTTCAATGCATACTGGACCAGTTAGCCATCCACTCTTCATCTCTTCTCTGAGCATGTCAGAGCTACCAGGAGCAGTGCTTTTGTCTTGCCTGGGGCAGTTTGCAAATTCATAATCTATTCTTTCTCCCATTTTGCAGATCTGTTGGTTTCTCCTCATCTTCATTCCCTTCCCCTTTCTGAGGTCACTTTTAAATCTTGTAGTCTTTTCTCTTTAGAAACTGCCTGTTCCTTCCTCATTGCCCCTGTTGCTTCCTTGCTCCTCCTTGTTGTGGTCATTATCGGATTTTCACATTTTCCCATCTGCTGTAACAATTTCCTCCTTTCTCACTCGGAAGAGGCATGTCGCCAAACACCCTGTTTGATGTGTGAACAGAAAATGAAGAGAAAAAACGATGCACCACAGCCATTTACAGAGTCAGGCTCTGTACACATAACAGTGTGTCAAGAGAAGCTTGACAGAAAGAAGCTTAAGAGTGAGTCAGGTGTGATAAAAGCCGAGGAGGGAGAGATACAAACAGGAGGAATCTAGAACAAACCTGTGAACAGTAATCGAGCTGTGTGGTGTCTCCCTGCTCCCCTCTCGCTGCCAGTGGCTAGGACAATGAAGAGTAAGCCTGCTTCTCTTGGACAGAGGAAGGGATGAAGGTGTTGTACTGCAGGGAAAGGAATGCAGTGCTGAAAGATTTGGTCTCAAAAGAATGAAGACAAAACAAATGAACAGAAAAGAAGAGAACAGCATAAACAAAAGAGCTGAGAGAAAATAAGGAGTTAGGGGTGTGTGATGTGTGATGGCTTTCCATAGAGATACTTCTCCTTAAGCACATGTTTAGAATCATCTCCCTTTTTTTTTTTTTTCTTTTTGTTGATTTGGTGAACTGGTTAAAAAGCTGACAGGACAGCTAAGCATCTGGAAAGATGGAAAGAGGAGCTTGAAAGCTTTCTCCTTCTAGCCTCACCAGCAGATGAAGCAAGGGAGAGCCTCCCTTGGATGGATGTTACAGCACCAACTCCACAACCAGAGGGAGCCATCCCCTGGAGGAGGGTTAGCGCAAGACACTTCAAGACATTCACACAGATTTCTACAGCTGCAGTGGGAGTCAGTGGAAGTGGGGTTTGTGCCCTGTCTTTTGTATAGGAGTTTATACAAGGCTGAGCGATACCCAGGCGTTGTTCAAGGCTCAGCAGGGGTAGACATTGTGCACCTCACGTGCTGGCCCCTGCCCAGCAGAGAGTTTTACCACAGCATCAATAAAAGACTGCCAAGTGCTTGCTATTTGTGAAAAAGTACTAGAGGCAATACACAAAATCTCAGGAATAATATTCGTACTTGATTCATTTCTTGGTAATCAGCCTATGGATTACATCCTGGTCCATAATTCTCTTCTAGTTGTCATAGTGTAGAGCTAGTGATTTCAAGGGAGCTACACTGCAATAATTATACAGTGGGACAGAACCCTCTTACATATATATATGCATTGTGCATGGCAGGTTTAGATTTTACATTATGTTATACTACATCTGCTGTCTGGAAAAGTGCCAGTAAATCAAGGTTTTCATATAAACTTACTCTGTGGCATAGCATCTCACTGTTTTGTTTTATAGCATGTGGATATTAATGGTACAGCAATAATGAAATCAGAAAGGCAATAGGCATGCTAAAACCTTGAAAAGAAATCTTCTCTGAATAGAAAATGGTAAGAATGAACAATCGTGTAAGCTATAAAATGTGTTCTTTGATTAATATGTTTCTCAACTTCTTCTAGGAGAATGGGTTGGATTACGAAGCCTGTCTCGTTGCTCAGTGCGATGCCCTGGTCGATGCGTTAACACGACAAAAGGCCAAACTGCTCACAAAAGTTACCAAGGAACGTGAGCACAAACTAAAAGTGAGTGTAACTCTCATCAGCTGTGGATATTTAGCTGTTGATACCTTGCGTTAATGAGCGTTTTGTCAAGTTCTGAGCCCTTTAATGCTGAACAGCCCAATCCCGAAGTCCATCAGCAGGTTCCATCTTAGCAGTTTAATGGAAATGTGCTTATACACTTAAAATTAGGCCTGTACTTCAGCAATTTCTTGAGTGAGGCCATCATTCTATGTATCTGATACTTTGGGGCTCACTTCTGACAGCTGCTTGTTAGTGTAACCTCTGTGTGATTTCGATTGTAGGTCCTTCCAAATGCAAGAAACCCCTTCTGCCCAAGTAAATCTTTGAGGATTTTGGTTTCTCTTCAAGTCTCTGAAATTTAGACAGGCCACCACCAGATATTAATGCGCTACTTGAAAGATATTAAAGAGATGCTGTAAAGGGAAGAAAAGAAAGCTATGGGTGGTTAAACAAAGTGGCAGTCAGAAAACAGGCAAATTTCTTGGAAAGGGGAACTACATAAATGATTTTGAGATATTACAATGCTGGTAACATTAATGACATCTAAGACAGAAGGAAAAATCGAAGTGAAAAATATAAAGTGGAAAACAATGAATAAAATCTAAGTAAGATTGAAGTAAGCATTCCAAAATCCCCGTGCTTAACAAGAACCAACATTCAGGACGTGCTTTTAACAGCGTAGTTGATCCTGCTTTTCATTCCCCTTAGCCTGAGGTAACTGTGGAGTTCTGTGACTGAACACAGTGCTATTAGGCCTAATTTACAGCAGAATCTAGTACAAAATCTGGAAGAAATGAGAGGCATTCTTAATCCTAGCAATGCATCTTCAAGCAGAACAGGATCAATGGGGAATTGTGAAGATAATGGCAGAGTATAATCTGCAAGAAGCTATCCCTGCAGTTATCCTCTGTAATATTTGCTTTTTAAGTCAAAGGTTTTTTGAAAGCTCAATTTTTAGTGAAAGCACGATTGTAAATGTGAATACTACAAATGCAAAAACATATTCTGTGCTTTCTCTGCCCCAAGCAAACCTGAGGTTTGAGCAATTAATCTGCTCTGAAAATTGAGATTCCCTGTGCACAACATTTTGCCAAACTAATTATCGGTATTTACAATACAGAGCAAGTGAGTGTAGCTGATGGAGATGTGGCAATGGCCATATGGCAGCTAAATTAAGCATAGCTTTAACACACTCATCCGTTTGTTGCCTCTTCTGAAATAATTTTATATATTTCACTGTGAGCTGAGGCAATTATCAGGACTGTACTGATTATTTTCCAGGTTGTTTGGGACCAGATAAATCACTGTACGCTGAAGCTACGTCAGTCAACAGGGCTTATGGAGTACTGCCTAGAAGTTATCAAAGAAAATGATCCCTCTGGGTTTTTACAGGTATTTTTCTTTCCAGTGTTCTGAGGAAAAAAAAATATAAATTGATATGTAAATCTAAAAATGGACTGCTTTGCTAATTAGCACCTTTCACCTCCAAGGCAGGTTCATTTTAACTCCTGTTGGTAATGTCTAAAAGGCCAGTTGCAAATATTGTTTCTTAGGTGCAACCTTTTCTTTTTCTATACATTTTTAATATCACTAAATCTGATAGTTTTATTCCATCTTCTCTACAACAGACAACTCATTAGTGGTGTGTCCTAAGGTTTGAAGAGCTTTTAAATGTATAGAAGGCCCCTTAGAATCTGCCTCAGTAACTACTGAGTGAGATTTTATGGCTAGATCTCATGTAAGCCTACAACATGAAGGATTGATTGGCAGGTGTCTCTTCTTTAACATTTGACTTCCTCTGGCTCAGTTCCAGGAGCTGTGCAGCCTAGGTCCCAGGGAGGAAGCGGGAGTCTTTCATTGTTACCATTGCCAAGATTAGGGAGGAGATTGGGCAAATCATGAAAGGGTCAATTGATGAGAAAAAAACATAACAGTTTTACTATCCAATTAATTACTTTGCCTAATTAATCACATTAACTATTTTCCTTAATTCTTATTTTAACGTATTAGCTTTATTGCCTTATAAATTGCCTAAGAAGAAAGGCACATCAAACAAAATGATTTGTATGTGGCTGTCAGCTGAACAGGGCATGCTGCACACATGAATGCATGAGTGTCAGAGGGCTGTCACAGTATCCCTAAGAACAGGATGAAAATTAGCCAACATAAACCTATTAGCACTCCAGATTGATTGTTACTGTCACGTCTGGTCTCAAACAAGAGTTAGGAATGTGTGGTGTATGTTAATCTAAAAGACTACACAGCATTTTAGCAAGCTGTCAGTTGGATACTACAGAACGAATGCAACCTTTAGGTCTTACACACATGCTTAGATATATGCTTTCTTTTTGTTTCAGCTTATTTTTCCTATAACCTTTGTGACTTCGTTTTTTGCGCTCGCCTTTTACGTAAAAAAAAGTACTTTTGTTTTTACATTTTCCTGGTTTATTTAACAATGATTTCCAGGTTACCAGCAAACACTGAAGCACTGCATTACTTAGAGCCAACTACTCCTGCAGCCAGGATATTGAAACGCAGCCAAGGGATCCAGCACCCCTGTAAGTGACTCCAAGGTTGTAGGAAGGCTGTAAGATGCTTCTCCACTTAAGGCACAGACTGGTTAGGAGCTGTTGGTGCAGGAGTCCAGACAGAAGTGTCTTACAGTGACAGTAGTGAGGAAGAATATCTGAACTCCTGCAGTACAGGAAAAATATCTCTGACCTAGACAGAAGAAAATTCTGCTCTCTGTGATTTGCAGGAATCTCACTGGGAAGGATTCCAGGTATCCAACTGGTGTTGCTGAACTCAAGGACAGTTGAGTTCATTGATTTCCTCAGAGCCAAGATTTCGCTTACAGAGGAGGCCATTGGGATCATCTTAGTGTGACTTCTGGCCTAATTGTCTGTGGGCTGAGCTAGAGCAAAGATTTAAAAACGAAATTGTTTTGATGTATTGATAGCAAGTCCATCATATTCTAAGGAAATCTGGCTGACAACTTACTTCCCTCACTGTGAGAAATACACACCTTCTTTTCCTTTTGATTTTTTATTCCTTTCAGCTGAATTATTTGTGCTAAATGGAGAGACTCTCTGACATGTAAGCCTCTGTGCAACTGCTGTTTAAACAGGAGAGCAAAACGATACTGTACACAGCAGAGAACAGAGTTCACAAGTGCATGAGGCATTCAGAGACATGATACATAACAATCTTAATGGTCTTTATGAATGCAGTTTTTACTTCCCTATTCTAAGATTGTTTTTGAAAGGAGGAGACCAAAGGATACCACATAAATGGAACTCACCCCAGAATTACTGGATCCCATCTCAACTCTCATGCTGTCATAATCCTGGTTTCCTTGTGCTGTATCTCTCAGCCATACTGTCACTTCTAATGTCTTCCAATGTGCTGCTTCATCTGCAGTTTCATCATAAGCTTGATGCTGTCTTTCAGATTTCAGATGCTTTAATCAAACGTGTTCAGGTATCCCAGGAACAATGGGTCAAAGGAGCCTTGGAGCCAAAAGTGTCTGCTGAGTTTGACCTGACATTGGATAGCGAACCTTTACTGGAGGCGATTCACCATTTGGATTTTATTCAGATGAAATGTAGGGGTGAGCTTTTGTAATTTTGTTTTTCTGTTTTTCATGCATGTGTTGAAATTGCACTGTGAAGAGGGGGGGACGCAGAGGGAGGAATGATTTGAAATTGCTGGATATTTTAAAAAAGTTTTCAAGCAAATTAAGATTGCTGGGTGTTTCCGAGACAGGTGTGCTCATCTCACATGCAGTGACCTGGACAGGCTCAGACAGTGATACCATGTGCCGTTGCATATTTGAAAAGATGAATTCTTCAAAATAGGACTGTCTGTTAGCTTTGGTGATTCAAAAGACATCAGCTGCATGAAACTTCATGCCATTTTATAGCATTCATAGATTTAACAGAGTTAATCAAAATACTAGTTACCTCTATCTTGTCGGGAACAGCTGAAGTAGTAAATAAATACTCCCCCCCACACACATATGCTTCATTGGGAGAGAACCCCTTTGGCTTATATCTGGAATGTGCTGCTAACAGTGCTCAGGCTTTAAAATAAAATAAAACTGGGAGGTGGAGAATTACAGGCAGAAAGTAGTTCAGTGCCTGTACTGTTCCTTGATTCCAGTTGTCAGAACGATCCTGAGGGGCACAAATAAATGGAAGATGAGGTTAAGGAAATTATTTAAAAGCAGAAGCTGATGAACAGTAGATGCCATTGGCAAAAATATACTAACAAACATGTGCTTGTAATGCACATGGTGTATGCAGAGCACACAACTGCATCAGGATTAAGTAGAGAGATACATAGGCTGGCTAGATGTTAAACCCATGGTGGTCTCTGGGAATCAGGCCACTTTCTCTACTCAGTGGTGAATCAAGACTTAGTTATACAAGTGGGCAACAGGGTAGAGGCTGGCAGAAGTTCATGAATAAGTTAAGAATAATCATGTAGTGATGTTGGATGTGTTGTTTTTTTGTTTTTTTTTTTAACTTCAAATAAACGTAAAGATTTCAGTTCAGTTTCTGTTCTCCCTGAACCTGATTCTGAACCTAAGAGACCCAAGATGGAGTGGATCATTTGGCAGATAAATCTGTGGAGAAAGAATGGGTAAACGGTTAAAGGCCAAAGTCTGCTCACCAGGAATGGCTTACATCTTGACAGGAACAGGCTGTGTTAAAGAAGTTACTGAAAAAACATCTGCAAACTGCTCCTGAAATGCTTAGAGCTGTAAAGCAGTCAAGAGAGAAAGAGTATTGCTGATAAAGCTTCTCCAAATATTCTCGCATTTATCTGTTTAAATCAGTTTATATTTAATGCTGGCCATATTTATTATTAAATATATTTAGTACTAATCTTCCACCAGTCTCCATCCCTAACATTTAAAGAATTTAGCTAAACTACCCACTTAGATTGCTCATTAGCCACAGGTCACTTGAGGTGAGAGCAGCTTAGGTATTTGGCTTTTGGATGTTCATCTGGCTTTAAGTGTGAGGACTTAGAGACTAATTGAGCCAGATTCACTGGAGCTTTATGAGAGATAGTGCTGTCAGTTGACAAACCCATTTAAAGTACTATCACTGTTAAGCTCTGGCACTGAGCTAGACGTAGCCTGAGATGCAGAGGACAGGGCAGGACTGCTTCTGCTTAAGCCTGTGGAGAGCTTACAGACCAGCTTGGGCACTGCTCCCCAGCAGCACTGTGATAGTTAGTCCTTGGGAAGAGCTTTTCCTTGGGCTGTCTTGGCTTTGACCAAGCTGCAAATCTCGTTGGGTTGGTCAGTACAGATGGCTGGTGCATGTTGAGACCTGGCCTGGCTGTAGAAACGGTGCAAACAGGGGTGGAAATTTATCCTGGTCCCCGTTACTGCAGATGCATAAGGGACTGCGTTATTCCCCCTGGCACTGATGTGTGCCCAAGCAATGTGTGCCACCAGCTGGTCCTGAGCCAACATTTGTAGGTACTGAGCATAGTTAAATATATGCAGTATATTTTTCAGTTTATGACTGACTACAAATCTATTTGTATTTGAGCTGCTCACTATCTGACACATTGACATTTTTGTTTCTGAAATTTGCCTCTATGGGCGTCATTGTGGACATATTTACCTCTATGGACATCAGCCAGCTTTGCATCATCTTCTCATGCGTAGTGGTCTTGCATCTGAAGACACAGATACTACAGAGTAAACAACCCAGCCTTTCAGTAGTGAGCACCCAGACCCACGAGGATTATCACTTTGCAGACTGAGAGGGAGCTGTTGTTGGTTCTGTTTTGCTATTTGTAGCAAAATCACCCTCAGGACTTGAATCCTTCTGAGTCGCCAATTCCACACACAAAAAAATCTGTCTCTTCACATCTGCTCTTCTTTCTTGAATCTCACCTGCCCCAGCACACCGAGTCATCGATCTTTGCCAAACGTTTGGTGTTGAGGGGAGTGTTACTGACTCACCGTATGGATCAATCTGACAAGAGTAGATACACTAAAGACATCAGAGACCGTCTGTAAAGGGATTTTGGGGGGAGCCTCAGAGAACAGGGCCAATGTAGCTTTTCCAGCTGCGTGCTGTTTCTTTGCAAATGCATTGCGATGTAAGGTCTGTAATATTGTTATCGATGCTTAATGCATGACTGAATTTCTAATTTTTTTTTCCAAACTCTGGCCTCATTCAACCTCAGTGAGCTTGCATGGGTCATTTAGAGTGAAAGCTTGCTTGTAAGTAAACATTGATTCACTGTGTTAGACAAAGAAGAATGAAAATGAGAACAAATCACATTAGATTTGCTCTGATGACTTGTTCATGTACCTTACTGGTGGATTCTGTGTAAGCCTATATCTAAGGCCAATCTCAGTGAATAAAGATCAGGGAGTGTTGTTTTCTTTTCTTTTTATGGAAAGAAAAAAGCAATTCAGTACCAAATTAAATGTGCAGGGAGCAGAAATGTGATAGAAGCAGAAGCAATGCTTAAGCAGTCGTATTGACCGAAGTGTCTCACTGATTCTTCTTTGGTAAGGGTCCTGCAGTCCCCTGTCTAGCTGACCTGCTGAGATACATGTGCAGCTCTAGTATTTGCTGGTGTTCTGAGCTTTCCCAAATCTCCTTCCTGTCTGTGTTTTCTTCTTTTTATTGCTTTTTCTGAGTGCCTTGGCATGAAATTCCTGTCTTATTCAATGATTAGCTCATTGTGTACAATGCATTTTCTCAGTTCAAGCTATGGACACAGGCAAATAATGTGTTTGAGGTTTGTTTAGTGCAAACAGCTGGAATTGCCATGCAGTCTTGGTTTGTTGTAAAATGTAGACCAGGTGCAAAACAGGAAAGAATGTAGCTACCTGCCAATTTTCTGTACCACCGCTGAACAGTCATTTATATCCACATGATGACAAATAACAAGCAAAATCTTAGAACAGCCTTACTCTACCCTAAGAGAAGATCAACTGTGAGATGCATTGAGTAATGTGTTTCTGAAACTGCTGAGTAGACGTTAGGCACCAGTATCACATTTCTTAGCTAAGCATGACCTGCGTGTAGCACTTCTGCAATAGCAGGACATTATTCAAGCTCATTAATAGGTCTTGCTGTGCCAATGCAGTATCACTTCTCCCTTTATATTTTCATTCCTTTCCTTCAAAAACTCTCTAGAGGACTTTTAAGTTGAACAAGAAGTGGGACAGCACTGTTATTTAACATCTGAAACTTCTTTTTTTTTTTCCTGACAGCCTATATTTGTCTTTTCCTAGCGCTGTCCCATGGCTCTTCACTATGAAGTGCATCCCCGTGTCCCACTTATTCAACTCCCTCTGTACTTTCCTATGACTTTTACAGAAAGAGTTCACCCTCTTTCCTCCCAAAGGGAGTCTGAGGTCAAGATAAATCTCCGACCATCTGTGTCCAGCCGCTCCAGGAGGGCGAGTGCAGCAGGCGTAATCCAGCAAAGCTGGACACCTGCCTGGGGGGAGCTTCTTATCCTGTCCTGGGCCACTGTGTGGCTGTGCAGCACAGGGATTTGGGCGCTTGGTTGAGGAGTGTGGGAGTGCTGCCTATTTTGCACTTAGCTTTGTGAACGAGGTTTTCATGTAGTTTTGCCAGAGGGAGTCTCAGAAGTAGGGGGGACCCAGCAAACACTTCCTGAGAGAGTTGGCAGGGTAGCCAGAGTGGCAGGAGTGGGAGTGGTGGCTTATGCAGCCCTGTCTTCTCCCAGGTTCATCAATCACTGAAAATACACATGCTAACAAACACAAACAAAACCCTAAACTAAAAATGGTTTGTTTAAAATTCGCTTTACCTCTGCATTCCTTGCTGTCAGTTTTTTGGCTCCTGTAATGCCATATTTCTGTTACTTTTCCAGACATGGTGCCTTCTAGAGAAAAGTCTGAACTTTTTGTGTGGAAAAAAACAAGTAGGTCTTTACATATGAGACCCTCTGAATCATCCTTAAATATCAAGGAAAAGCAGCAAAGGTTTCTATTGTGTTTTGTTTTCAGAAAATCCTTTAAGAGCTAGTTTATTGAGCTCCTTTGTTACAGGCCACACTCATTCTGTTGGGGTAGGGTGTTGACTTTTGTCCCTTCCAACGTGGGGGTGAAGCCTTAGCCTCCTGACGCAGTAGGGAGCATTTTCCCCCTGTTTTCCCACAGACAGTTTGCTGCACGAAACATGAGCAGTCCTTTTTATGCTGAGAGGTTAAATAGGACGAAAGGAACAGCTCAAGGGCTTAGCTCTCTCACAGGCAGGAGGAGGAGAATAAACTAGAGGCTCAAAGTGGAGTACATAAAAGAAGAGCAAATTGACATTGTTAAGAGCTCAGTCAATGAATGCTCAGAGCACTCAGCTCCCTGCAAGATGCCGTGGAGCTCTGCAGAAATGATCCTAACACTGAAATTAAGCCTTGGGCAGAAGACGAGGCAGGGCCTGTGCGTCACGTATATCTCACTTATCCTGTGTAATTTCAGTCGTGCACAAGAGATATGCCAGATCTCTCCAGGAGACTGAAATTTCACTTAATAATTTCCAGCAAAGGGCGAACAGTGAGAGTTCAGGTGTGCGTGGTAGAGAAGGTGTGGTGGAGGCCTCTTCCAGAAGGTGTGGTGGAGGCCTCTTCCCAGAGGCAGGCCTGAATGTTGTACTCAGTTTACTTTTATTTTTCAGGCCTGAATGTTGTACTCAGTTTACTTTTATTTTTAAGATGCTGCTCTGGTCAACAGCGTCTTGTTGTGTTTTTTTTTTTTTCCTGGGAAAGTCAGTAAAAAAGCGTGTCTGCAGATAACTTCAAGGCTCTAATTTCCAAAAGGACAGAGCCACAAGCAGTCTCCTGTGACGCAGAAGCTCCTTTGGCTACCTGAGCTGAGGGATTTAGATAAATGTTGCAATTGGAACAGTTTCCAAATACGTTTTAATTTACATATTTCTGCCAAATGGTTTGCCTAGCCAAGTAAAAACATTTCATTATACCATTTTTACCAGCTTTTGTTTCAATGGCCATCTTCGGGGGTTGGACTGGATGATCTTTAAAGGTCCCTTCCAACCCACACCCTTCTGATCCCCTCCTACCATTCACTCCCCAGGAGGGGAGGGAAGCAAGTGGTTGTGGTCCTGCTCCCAACACAGACTGAGGGGGTAGGGCAGAGCTGCACTAATCTGTACTCAGTTCCTGTTACAGTGCCACCCGTCCCATTACTGCAGCTGGAGAAGTGTTGCACCAGAAACAACAGTGTGACATTGGCCTGGAGGATGCCACCTTTGAGCCACAACCCGGTGGAGGGTTATATCTTGGAACTTGATGATGGAGATGGTGGCCAATTCCGAGTGAGAATTTCATTCAGCATTTATTTGTGTTTCTTTGTATATAAGTTTCCTCAGGATATGAATTTGTGTCTGTCTGAGGGTGGGGAGAGGGAGTAGGGAAGGTTTGGTTTGTCAAAGCATCCCTGGCTTTCATTGCATGGATGTAGAAAGCTCTGGATGTGGTTTCTACTCCTTAGAAGGAGCCCCAGCTTGGGCAGGAATTTGGTTGAAGCTCTTCCTGGGCAGCTGGCAAAGAGGCCTTGCTGAGGTGAAAGGTGGAATTTCAAGTCACTAGTGTATCTACTGTGTGTCCTCCCTGGAGAACACCCCCACAGAAAATCCCACACCAGCCTACAGGGGCTGGAAGTGCTTCATGCCATGGAGCAAGGATTTCTTTGAAGCCCCTACTCTCGTCTGTCCATATTGTCTCCCCTATATAGATAGATATAATAGATGAAATTCTTGGTCCAGAAATGCATTTTTTTTTCCCCTAGTGTTCAGATTTAAAATAGGATCCTGCATGAAAATACAGGATTTCTAATATTTTTCTCTGAGAGTGGATGATATGAGGCTGAGGGAAGTGTTCCTCAGACACGCTGCAGTGGCCTCAGTATGTATGGGAGGACATACTGAGTGCCATCCTCCCAGACCTCCAGGGTGATTCCACAACTGCTCACTCATGCCTGTGGATGCAGGATACTCTTGTCCCCTCCCTCCACATCTGAATAAATGAACCGCAGAAGTAATTCAACCATCTTTCTGCCAGCCACGTCATGCTGGAAGCAGTGGTCTGCCTACCACGGACAGGATTGCTGCTACTGTTCATACTTCTGTTACTTCAGGACCAGGCTAGGCTGATGTGTTCCCCAGGGCCTAGTTCCTTGAAATCATTACTACAGAGCACATCTGCTGTCTTCACAAGGGGGAAATTGTGCCTAAAACATGCAATAAGTTTTCTTTGGGAGCTGTAAACTGGCTTCCCACCAGAAACCTGAAGGTTAGTAAAGCTTAGTAGCTAGTTAAATAGCCTGGAGCTGGCCCACCTAAGGAACTGCCTCCCCATACCAAACCACTACACCACAGCCAGCAAAGGCACCTGGTTTGGATGCCCCTCATTAGAAAAACCAGTAATGTTGGCAGGGTGTTTTGGAGAGGGCACAGTGTTTCTAGAACTTCTCAATTCCTTGGTCCAAGTATCATTTGTGAAAAGGTACCTTTGAGAATGACTGGCCAGAAGCTGCTGACAGAGTTAATGTTAGTAGGTGAGAGCGGTATCCATCCATGTGTGGTGGATGAGGTGTGACACATTCCAGTGTCTTGGATAAACCATTTCAAGTGTTATTTACAACTAAAGAAATAGTTGTGAATAGACAAGATTTCAGGGTGTGCATATCCAAGGTGTGAATGAGCCTTGGTCCATTTGTGTGTGGCGTTTTATAACTAGCAAAGGCTTTAGGACTGCCAGTGCTGCCGTGTCAGGATTTTGGATTGAAAGGATACAATACAATCTCAATCCCTAAAGCTCAAAGGTCACGGTTTCTAAGTGAAAAACTTTGTTTGCTGGGGAAGGAACATCCTCAGTTTTACCCACGGAAAGATAAAATGCAGGCTTCTCAGAAATCCCATTTCAATAAGAGTTTGCTGACCAGTTTTCTGAAGGATTACATATCTGAGAGCAGTGATACTGACTGCGCTTCATCAATTCTTGATGAGTAGATTTTTAAGAATGTTTCTTTTTTCCCTTTGTAGTAGTTCAGAGGCTAGCTCAGGACTCAAGAGATTTTGTTATTGTGGCAGCCACCATGGTAAGCAAGGTGCACAAACACATGGCCCTGCTGTGTACTTAAGTAATCCCTTTCTTATTCATCACATACTCCATTCACTTCAGGTTCCTATCAAAGAGCTTTAATCATCAGGACTGCTTCTAGGCGTATACTTAAGTGTCTTAACCTAACTGGGGGCTGAGTGCTCTGCTTACTCACAGCCTTAAGCTGTTTACAGCCTTTGCTACCACAGATCTGTGGATTTCACAAAATAAGAGAAATCAGAGGTGAGAAAGCTTGGGAACTGTGGCTTTCAGCCTGCTGCCGAACAGGATTATTTCCTTTTCTATCATTTCCTATTGCTGTATTCAATTTTCCAATAAACATGAGGTTTCTAGGCTTCTTTTAGTTCATCACAAACTATCATCTGATCCTGTTATTTTGCCTAGCTTTTCCTCCTCCTGAAATATTTTGCGTTATGCAAGTGCTTGCTCTTTAATAAATCTTTGCAGACTTTTATTATGTCTCTGCTGTCTAGTTGCTGTTTCATCAGGTGATGCATGTGATCCTAATCTTCAGGAGACTGGATTCTTCTGTCTCTGTCTTAGCAGGTTTCAAAATTATGTATTAATGCAGGCATGAGACAACCTTTCCAACAGAATTAAACTGTGCTTACTTGTTTTTTATTCCTCCTTTCCCCCTTTTTATGGTCCTATATAAAGATAAGAATGGCCATGGTGGTTGAGATTCTAGGACTACTGCCCAAAATAGTGTTTTTGAACAGGTGTTTAGGAAAAGAGGATAAAAAGTAAAATCTGTGTTCCCTTTTTACCTTCACCTTAGTGTCTCCAGTGCTGATCTTACTTGGTGTCTCCACTTCTGTAGCTATCCATGTTGTAACAGCCTAAACTCTGCATTCACTAAAGCCACAAGAATTTGTTTACTTGTGACTTCTGTTTAGAAGTCTTAACGTGATCATGAGACACAGAAACAGTTAAACTGTGTCCCTCTTTCTTTCTCTTTCTCTTTTTTTTGTTTATTTTTTTGGTGTGTTTAGGAAGTATATGTTGGCAAGGAGACTCTCTGCACTATTGATGGCCTTCATTTCAACAGCACCTATAATGCAAGAGTCAAAGCTTTTAATTCATCGGGAGTTGGTCCTTACAGCAAGACAGTTATCTTACAGACATCTGATGGTGAGTTTGTTTTTCGCCAGTTTCTAAAGTAAAAGCTGCAGCCCTCAGTGTTAAGACATTTGCATCCCATTATATCCACTGATACATGTGGGACTTGCTGGCATGGAGATTTTGGATCATCTCAGTGGGGAGTCCAGGGACTGAGCTGCCCTCCAGACGTGCACTTCCAGGTCAGGGCTGAAGAATGCAGGGCTGTGCCACTGCTGTCCCTGCCGTCCCTTCTGCATGTGAGCTAAACGACTGCACAGCATTTCCAACAAGCTGCATGCACCTTTCTGTGTGCATGCTTTTCCAGTGCTGATTGAAGCCAACCCACCTGCAGGTGACCGATGCTGCTGAGTGTACGTGCAGAAGACAGTGCCCAAAACCACCCGCAGCTGTAGGTGTATTCTGATGGCTGCTGCAGTGCACTTGGGTGGAAAACAGCCTGCTATCTCGGGGGGGGAACAACCCAGCCCTAACTTCACTAATGATAAAATTCAAGTAGGCCATTTCTTTATGCTTTTGGGGGATTTTCCGTTGTCAGTAACACTTCAGGTTTCAAATCTGTGGTTTTGTTTGGTTATGGAAGTTGGATGTCCAATTAGGGTCTTTATTTGTTGTAGCATACAGAGGCAGTTATGCAACAGACTGGATATTTTGTATGCCATGCTGTCTCCACTTTTACATTTATCTTTGGAATCTGTGTTTTTCCTCACTACTGCTTCAATTTCAGAGCAAGGTTTGATAAGACAGAGATGGGAATTTGTGCTTGTTTCTCTGTAATTACACTTGACATCCACAGAGGCATTACAAGAAGTTCATCTTCAGTAATGATATTGTAATGAATTGAGAAGTATGTGCTGTCCTCACTTCAACTTTTATGCTGTGTTGCCAAAATAGGCCAGTGTAAATTATTAATACTTTAAGAGCTTTTTCTCTGTTTTTTTTTCTTTTTTTTTTCTTTTTTTTTTTTTTCCCCTTCTTTGATAAACTGGTGAAATCAGCCCTTACCAGCATGGACACAGAGGAACTCTGTTTTTATTAGAGACAATCCTGAACCAATTCACACTTGTGAGCATTTTCTGCATTACGAAGAAGACTTTGTTTCCTCTATGATTTTCTAGTTACTGTATGAGAATAGCAGGTCACTGCCCTTAGAAGCATCCATTCAGAGACGCAGATGATATAAGGCACATGAGTAATTTACACTTCCATAGCACCTTTCAGCTGCCTGAACTGAAAAATGCCTTTCAGGTCTTCTTGGGTTATGCAGATTGCATGAAGCACTCTTTTCTTTCTCACTCAGTCACGAGCAGTCACCCCGAGCTGGGTCTCAGTGCAAAGCAGTCCTGTGTAACCTCTAGGATAATGAGGAAAGATCATCCTTGTTACTTGAGAGTGCGGTGGGGTCTTTAGGAAGGCTGATCCTCGTTCTCCTAGTGGAAGTAGAGCATCCGATGGGTGTGTACAGCCAATTCTGTCACAAACCTGCATCTCCTTTTCCCCTGCACAGTGGCGTGGTTCACCTTCGACCCCTCCTCAGCTCACAGGGACATCGTGTTGTCAAACGACAACCAGACGGCCACCTGCAGCAGCTACGATGACCGGGTTGTTCTGGGCACAGCCGCCTTCTCCAAGGGCGTGCATTACTGGGAACTGCACGTGGACCGCTACGACAACCATCCTGATCCAGCCTTTGGCATCGCCAGGATTAACGTCGTCAAGGACATGATGCTGGGCAAGGACGACAAGGCTTGGGCCATGTACGTTGACAACAACCGCAGCTGGTTCATGCACTGCAACTCTCACACCAACCGGTAAGCACCATCTGCACAATTTTCTTCTTATCGGTTGTTTTTTTTCCTCCTTGTCATCAGAGGATGAGATATCAACAAGCTGTAGTCCACCTCCCTGCAAAATAGTTATTTTATTCCTGACTCACCTGTTCTTAAAAGTCACCAGTGACAGAGATGGCATCTCGTCCCCAGGCAATCTGTGTTGGTGTATGTTACCCTTTCCATTAGCAGCTTTTTCCTGAGATCTAGCTTAAATCTCCCCTACTGTGATTAAACCCATGATTTCATGTCCTACCCACAATGTCAGTAGATAGGAGTGACACACAGTCTAAATGCCTTGTGTATTTGGAAAACACCATATTTGTGTACCTACTCTACCATGATGGGAGACTGATGTACAAAGTCTGGCTGAGGATATATAGTGGGTCTGTGGCAGAGTGGGAATCAATTTTGATTTAGTTTCCTACTGTCTGTCTCAGCAGGTTTTCCGTACTTACTAGGTCAGATGTTGTTTCAGTTATATCAAATGATTAAAAGAAAGGTTTGAAGTCATTTTTAAAACACTAAAAAAGCTTGTATTATCTCCTTAGAGGGAAGTTTCTGCCAACTTTCATGGCATCCTAAGCTGATAATAATGTCTCCTGTTGAGAAGTCATTCAAACTCTAAAACATACTTGTATTTTGAGTACATATACTGCAATTGATGGTAATTTTTGTTTGAAGCAGTTTGATTTTTTAGTTCGTTACAGACAGGTGGAAGAACCTTGTAGCTAGACCCAAAGCTATCTAAAGTAAATATGAATATTTTAATCGGCTCCAAAGGCCAATGAAAGGTCTTTTTAGGACATGACTTAGGTCATGTCATAAGTAAATGCAGCATAAAATAACATCAGAATAATAAATATATCAAAAGGTTCTCTGTCCCTTTAATATCTTGATTTGATTTAGGGTGGAAGTAATGTTAAGCTGGGTAAATTTTAATGCTCTGTGAAACAGCTTATGTTTTCTGGAAAAAACTGGCAAACGTTCTGTGTGCTGCTGTCCCAGAAACCTATTTTATGGATTTGGTCCTAGGCATGCTTCTTCCCGCAAGCAACACAAGAGCAAAGCAAAAGCTTTCCTTCTGGGAAGCAAAAGCAATGGAAACACTTTGGATTTCCAATCATCCTGCTTAAACAAGAGAACGAAGTACTTTGTGTTGATGAGAGCTTCCCTCTTTTTACTAGGTAAAACAGAGGTTTGGCAAGCACATCCAAGGAATGGGCAGTCCAGTAGAATATTCTTTCGAGTGAAATACACTGATGAAGAGCATGTAGTCTCATGAAATCACATGCGCTTCAATGAAATTAGGTCTAGGCATTATATTTTTAACCGTGACAGTCAAGTAGGTCAGGTTTTTAACTCATTAGCTGTGGTAGTCTTGTGGAAACAATTGTTGCTGCCTTGTCATTTTTCCCCACTGGAGACAAGTGCATGATAGCACAATGTCAGTCCAAAGAAAATTTATTGCCAGCTTTTAGCCTCTCAGATGTTATTATGTTGGAGGAGATATCCTAGTAATCATTTCATCCATCCAAATCTTCACAAGACTAAATTAGGACTATAAATAAATGACTAGCTTCAAGGATAAGCTGGGGTGGAGCTTGAAAGACCGAGGCATGGGACCTGACAAGTTTAGAACACTTTCCTGTTCTTTTTGCTCACAGCAAGCACACCAGGATCTGTCTGCATCCTTAAAAACAGCCAGGCTGGGCTCGACCTCTGTCGTGCTAGAGGAAAGGGCACAAACAGATGAACCTAATGCTATAAAAAATAGAGACCTTTGAGAACAGGTTATGCAGACACTAGTTTGATACTTCAGGGCAGGGATATACCTCTGTAAGGTACCTTTCAGCCTTGTTGTTCCTGAAAATAGTCAATTCACAGCAGAGGTGTTGTGTGCCCATTGCTTAGAGGCATCACCACTCATTGCAATGAAAGAGATGGAAATCACACTGAAATATTTTATGCTGAAAGACTGGGGGATGTCAAAATCTGGACAGTTAATCTTTAAGCCCCCTGCTTAAGGCGAGTCTCTGCACTAACTTCAGAGGTCTCAAGAACAGGTTCTCATCACACAAAAATATTACAATTGATTGAAAAATACTGGCCTTGGCAATGGACATGGCAAAGTTGTGAAGTTACTCTAAAGTTAATGAAAAAACACTGTTAATGTGGAGTTAATTCTTCAGTGTATTAAACAGTGTTCATAAGTTAAGATTTATTTTTCAATAACATTGAAATTTACTGCTATTCTTAATTCCTCAAGCCAATTCATTCAGTCCAGTTTTGCAAATTGTCCACACTGCTGCTGAAAGCATTCTGAGAACGTCAGATCCCACTGCAGCAGACAGTGGCATTTTTCAGGGTAGCCCAATTCCTGTGTCTGCACTCAGTCCTACACATAATACTGGCAGTCAGTACTCAGCACTGTGCACAGAGGTAAATATTTGCAGGACTGTGGGAAAAGGTGTGTGAGAGTTGGGATTTACTGGGAATGATGAAAGTGGTGCATGTTTTCAAAAATGGATCATCATTGCAGAAGTACTACTGTACCAGGTAGCTGCCTTTTCCTTTCACTTGGTCTTCAGACTATCAGGAGGCTGTAGGATAACTACCATTAAGTAGTTTAAAAAGACATTGAAGTGTCAGCTCTTGGACATGCTGGCACAGAAGTGTACCAGGAAGGAGCATCAGTTTAAGTTGCTTGAGCTAGCAGGCTTTTGTATTACAACTAAGACGTTTATTAGAATAAATATCCAGTAAAATATCCAGTCTTGATGATGTGTGGAAGAGTGACTGTGTTCTGCACAAGTTTGCTCATGAAACTTTAGCTGTCCCATCTTTCCGCCTAAAGGAGGTGACCGTGACAGTAGTCCCAAAAGCACTGGGTCTCTCAAAATAAGTTCCCAAAGACATCCTGGGATGCCCAGGATGAGCTGTTCAGCCTCAGAAGCCATGGCTTCATCCTGCCAGAGCCTGCTGCTCCCTGTGGGGAGGTGGATGCTCAGTAACAAGGCATCTGGCCTGCTGAAGTGCTGCAAAATTTGGGGCAAGAAAGCCAGGGAGAGCCCCGTGTCTTGCTCCCCTTGTCCCGGGCAGCCCTCAGCTGGGTCATGTGCTGCAGGCAGCAGCTTTTCTTCAGCAGGGCTTTCCCCTTGGGCTGCAGAGAAGTCACTCAATGTCACCATGTAGCACGTGGCTAATTAGCCCACAAGAAGCAAATTAGTTTATTATATAAGAAAGAGCATAATAATCTGAAATAGGCAAAGTTGCCATTTCTGTTTCCCTGAGAGAATCAATGTCATTTAAAAGGATGTCATAAAATCTATTTTGAAACACTGCAGGATATGAAACTTGGTGCACTGCAATCAAAGCTGTTCTCCATCAGAGGAAAAAAAAAAACAAACAAAAAAAACCACATTATCCATTTGAAAATAGCTCTAGATCGTGGTAGTGACACTTCCCACAGTCTCACTGAGTTTTTCAACAACCTAGATCTTAAGACACTGAGGCTAGGTAAGCATTTTAACTTTTGTTGGAAAATAATATGCTTTATGGTTTTGGAGAAGAGCTCAAACACAAACTTGTTAATGCTTACAATACCAGAAATAGATTAAAGGGAGCTCAGAACTGCACAGTTTTAAATCTAACACATCTGAGAGCCCAACTCCTGATTCTCAGCTGTACCATTATTGTTTGAAGAGCTATAAATAGAGAAGTCAAAATATTGTTGCCATTACTATCACAGGTAAAACTACTTACACCTTAAGAGGAAATTGTATGTGCCGCATTTAGTCTAAAGGAAAAGCAGTTTATGACACCTAGTGGACACGATGAAAATTTCCTACCATATTCCTAGTGTATTTGTTTTATCTATGGGATAAATTTTATGTTAAAATTGCATTTATCCTGTGAATTTTGTGTGCCTGAGGGAAGCTCGTGGGACAAAGGACAGTTGCTTCCTTTCCTGATGCAAATGACTTGAAATCTGATTTAGCCTGAACAAATTGTGTCAGGTTGTAAATCCATTGCAGAGCCCCCACCCCATGACATTAGCGAAGTAGCAGTGCCTGTGGCCAATCTGCATATGTAGCAGATTTCTTGCTCAGTGCTCTTTAAAGTAATACTGGGTTTGACTAACCCCCAAATCAAAGTGCATTAACGTCAAATCGTTCATGCATGTAATGGCTGGATCTGTCCTGGCACACTCTGATACCATGGTAGCTCTCAGCAGCTGCTCCTGACACAACCAATTATCCCCGATACTAATAGCTGTGCCCCAAAGCCTAGAACAGCTCCCAGCCCTATAGCTGAACACCTCGCCAGCCGCAGATCTACGTGTATCCCTAACCAGCCCCACCTTCCCTTCCTCCCTGAAGCCAGGATCTGTTCGACCTATGCTGGCTCTGGGAAATTGGGTCTCCTTGGGGATGGGGGGATGGCAGAGGTGAGTCTCGAGCTGTTAGCAGGCAGAGCAATTAAAAACGAGTGCCTAGCACACAAGCTTTTCTGCTCATTCATTCTCTGTGCGCATCACTCCACCACAGCAGGGGCACTCTCAGGAGCTATCTCCAGGACTCCTGTCCTGCACCCTCAGCACTGAACCGATCTGCTTACCTGCCCAGCTCTTGTCAGCTCAGGGCCTCTGTTAGCTTTGAACACAATTTTTAGCGCTGACTTTACAGCTGGAGGAGAATTGGACCCAATTTCTCTTTCAGATATCCCCTTTAAGCTCTGATGAACGTGGTACATATGTTTTGGGTAAAGGTGCGGTTTGTCATTGCCAAAGTGCTGTGGGGCTAATCTTTTCTCTGTGCTGCTCCACTCTCCCCTTCCTTAGTAAGACTGCTTGTCCTGGAGAGAGCAGCAGGGGTGTAGCATTCTGCCTTCACTAAACCAACCTTGCGGTTCCTTTGTGCCTTAGGACTGAAGGAGGAGTCTCTAAAGGTGCCACCGTTGGTGTTCTGCTGGATCTGAACAAGCACAACCTGACCTTCTATATAAATGGGCAGCAGCAAGGACCTCCAGCTTTTGAAAACATTGAGGGTGTCTTCATGCCTGCACTGAGCCTCAATCGAAACGTCCAGGTAAGTCTTCTGTAGTTCAAGACAACTTGCCCTGCTCAGCTAAAGGAGGGGATATGCTACTGGCCCTTTCTGCTGTGACAGGTAATGTCATTTGTGGGTAGTCACTACGGATATTAGCTTTCCTTCTCAGCTTTCACTGAGAAGGCTAACACTTTCTTGAAAATTTGATTTGACCTTCTGTCTTGCCTCAAAGGTATGAGGGGTAACCCTGTAAAAGCAAGCAAAAGTGCCTGTGCATCCTAATGCCTACCTTGGTCTGCTGCAACACAACCCCTTAGAAAGCAGCAGGGTTAAGGCTTCTTCTGCCATTTTGACTAAAAAGCATGAGTATCCGAATTCCACGTAGATCTTGTGTTTAGAGATAGTTAACATTGTCAAGAGACAGAAATGCCAACAGCAAAGCAGTAAGTAGAGCAAAGACAACACAGGTCAGAGAATTGGTTCAACAGAGAAGACTCTGAAGTTCAGAGATTTCTCTCTGTTCCCAAGAGATCTCCTCTTGGAGGAACCCTCTTTCAATATAACGTGTTTTTTACTTCAAAACCACTGCATATGGCTAGAAACAGGAGGTAATGTAAGGGAGAACCAGCAGCTCTACCTATGGAAATGCCAGAAGCCTGAGGAATGACAGAGGCTGGTTTTAGTCAGACAGGACCAATGCAGTCAGGCATGGAATATCCATCATGTACAATCCCCAGACTGAAGCAAGAAACTTCACACGGCCTTACATTAACATTAGCATTAGTTGCTGGTGGCATCCAAATCTTTCAAGGTTTTGTCGCTTTATTGTATTTGATGCACAAAGTGGAAGATGCAAGCACCTCCCTGGGAACCTGACTGCTTTTTTCAACACACGTTTTCAGTTGCAGCCTCCCTACATCCTTGTAGCACCTGGCTTACATTTACCATGACCAAGTTAAGGCAGAGCATGGCCAAGAAAGTGTGAGGGGGAAGCTCATGGCCAGTGTTATTTCTCCTTTGCACAGGTGACACTGCAGACAGGACTGGAGGTGCCACAATGTGTAAAGCAGCCAAAGTTGCCCAGCAACTAATGAAGCTTCTGCCTGAGCCCCTGCTGGATCTGCAAGCTTTCTCAGTGTGATTTGGCACCTTTTAGTAAGTCAGAAAAAAAGCATTCTCTTCCCTACGTAAAATGTTGTACACCGTGTTGCTCACTGAGTACTCCACTGGTTACAGCTCGCCCACTCCATCTTTGATTTAACAAGCCATAGCAAGCATACCCACAGAACTGGCACGTGATTACAACTGGGTACCTGCACATATCTATACTGCATTGCATACATGTGCACACACATGCATACACATATTTATAAGGTGAAAAGGTAAATGAGTGTATTTTCTCTCCCATGGCTGGATTTGTACTCAAAAGATATTAAGGATGCTTGAAAAAATGGGCAAGACTAGGACTGGAGAACATTGGCTGCTGGAACAATTCACCAGTTGGTGAATTTGGTGGATTCCTTTTGCCTCCTGAAATCCTTAATTCAAGACAGTGTGTGTTTTGGCAGCTGAAGTGGAAGCTGTGTGCTCAGTTAAAGAATTCACCTGCAAGATTCTTTTGTCTGTTACTTCCAGGGGCTCAAATGACCTTAACTATTCCTTCTGGCTCTAGAGTACAGTAAGCTGTGACTTTTGTTCCCCTAGAATTCAGTGGCAGAACTTGCACTTCAATAAGAATAAGATCGTTTCCCAAATGCTGTCACATAATAGTTGTGCTCATTTGAGCTTGCACCATGATACCTGCACAATTCAGATATGAAAGGTAGAGAGAAAAATATTCTTGATACATTTTCATATTCCTTATTTAAGTGTGATTGTGGGGACTATCACACAGAGAAGATCTGATTGTGGTTATCAGCACAACTCTTGAAAAATTATGCAGGGTAGATCCTTTTGAATTTAACTGATGAGAGATTTATTTAGATATGGTATATGCAAAGTATTCCACACAGAGAAATGCTGCTTTTCAGCCTGTAAGTCCTGGGCAACTGTAGTTCCAATGTAGCTTTGAGATCAAAAGCCTTAATTTTCTATTAGATTAGGGTGATGTATCTAACGTCTTGACTTCCATGAAACATTTGAGCAAGAGAGATTCATAGGATTAATGCTAAATCTGTTCTGAAGATTTTTTTTCTGGATTGGGACATAAATACTTTGTGAGATGTGACTGTCTATTGAATCTCCCTTGAAAGCAAGAAGCCATTTCAGATGCTGTCCGTGACAACGTGAGTCTGACCAACGTGGAACTTCCCCTAACCACAGCACTCCCACCTGCATGCTGTTGTCAGAAAACATATTGGTTTGTGTGAGTGTTCCTTTTCCTGTAAAACAAGTTAACATAAGCTCTGTGTGTGCCTAGTGGTAATGCATAAGAACAAGATGCAGCAGACTGTGTGAGCCCACAACATCTCAGACTTTGCCATTTGTCATTTTGTCCAATCCTACGTAAGTGCAGTGGGATCAAACAAGATGCCACAAGCATCAGCTCTTACATCCTATTGATGTGCTATGTCCTTTTCTTAAATTCTGCTGCTTACACAGATTTTCCCCTCTAAGCATATGTACAAGCACATGCGTATTGTTGTCAGCCAAGTAATTACAAAGCCTGAAGCCCAGATCCAGCTAACTGCCTTGCATAGCCACAGGACCAACAGCCCAGGCTTCCCTTTGGGCAGCCTGGTTCAGGTGCACTTTCAGTCCCTGCCCTGAGCACATCGCTCAGGTAGTGCTGAGTGCTGGCAAGGCTGCGCTGGGACAGAGCAGCCAGCGTCCTCACTGGTGGCATCCCGTCCTGCACAGCCACTGTGGGGAGCAGAAGGCAACCCGGCATGAAATAGTCACGGGCTATTTGACAGGTGAAATGCAGCCTGCCACCACAGTGCCTGTAACCAGCTAAGCATCTCGTAGCCCACCTCTCCTGCACGACAGCAATGCACCTTCAGGGATGTCAAGACTGAAAGAGGGAACAAAACCAACAACAGGAAAAAATAACTTAAGCTGTTAAGCAGGAAAGCAACTGTACTTTCTTGAAGTCTGAAATGGAGTAACCTTTTAAACATTGGAATAACTGTGCTATGCTCACCTTGATTTCTTAAGGAATAGCAGAGACCAGCTGTGTTTTAATTTTTGGTTGTGTTTAATGCCATATGAACTCGTGCAGGATTTTCTAATTCAGTGGGTCTGCTTTAACCTACCTCAGCTAGAGTGCTATTGGACCCTGAATTTCCTCCCGAGCATGCTCATCATAAAATTGTCTTCAGTGAACCTAAAAGCTGAGTATTGCCAGTCAGAGCAGTGTGTGGGAATACTGTACATAAGTTGCACATAGTTTTTTATATTGAGGAACATCCCATGATGATTTTAATACAGAAGGCACTCCACTTTCACTTTTCTTATTAAAAACAACCAGATGTTTGTTTTGGGACTAAACCTTTGTCTTTGCTCCCAGCTTCTGTGAAGGAAATTCAAATGAATTTAGATCGTTCCACTCTTCAACCATTGCCAGATGTTTAAAATTAATTCTGAATGGGTTTTAGAAGCGTTGCAGTACTTGGTTTTGGTTTTCATAGTTGCTTTGGTATAGGTTCCTAGTGTTGTACCTTGGGGAGAATGCAGTGAGTGGTACAGGTCACTACTTTTTAATGGAAATATGGACGGTAGGGACCCACATCAGCTCTGTAGAGAAGCTCATTGTTGTTCTAACACTCATACAGGTAGGGTACAGACTAGCTGCCATTACAGCCTCTTTTTAACCTAGTGGAGATGCAAATAAAATAAAAGGAATACAGTTAGAAGTAGGTATCCTGCATTAGCAGGACTAATTTAGCCTAGGTCTAAACCTAAACAAAGTGGGTGTATGTGTTGGTTGTGTACAACTTCAGCGACTTGGACTTGGCGTGGTCCATAGCAATAAGCCAAGTTACCCCAACAGAGCGTAGTCTCATGACTTAGCTGGATGCATTTTGGTAGTTTAACAGAAATAATGCTTAAGTAGATAGAATTATGCTAGGAAACGAATTACTCCACACATATATTTACACAGAGCATCCAGATGGCAGCAGGAGCCATCTGAACTTAGAGCAGAGCAGAAATTGCCTTTTGCAGAACAGCATCGGGTGGGGAGCAGCAGGGCACTTTCACCTCTCTGCTCAGGAGGGAGGTAGCTTGTTTCTCTGCAGGTAACTCTTCCGTCTGGTTATAAACCCAGCAGCCTGCATGTTCTTCATCTACAGCATCTCTTTTGCCAGCTTCTATTTCCTCCAAATCCCCTCTCTGGGAGGGAGCCAGCCTTTAGTAGTGCAGTCCTTGCAGAAATTGCCCCGCTGACTATCCAGGAGGAACCCGGGGAACCAAAAGGTGGCACACATACCAAAGGGCTTTGGATGTCTCTTGCTTCCTTTTGATTCCTTGGGATATTTGTGCAGCTCTCTGGGGCTCCAAAATCATGATCCTCCTGTATCCCAGGCACCTGGACAAGCACCAAGCTGCTTTTTGTGGGATGCATCTGTTCCTGGAGCACAGGCTCTTCCCTATAAATAGGAGAGCAGAGCCTTTTGCACTGGGATGAGTCTCATCCCCTGTGGTGCAGAGTCCACATAAGGCAGTTGTAAATTGACTAAACATTTACAAAAGAAGCAAGTCCTCCTCTAATAAGCACAATGAAACTTGATTTCCAAAAATGTCAATTTGGAACATCTGCACAGCTGCTAAATGAATACAGCAGGCAAACTTTCTGTCCTGCAGAGCAACAAGGGACTCTTAGTTTTCACCTACCCACACAAACCCAAACGTTATCTTTTGTGAACCATCATCCTGACTCTTTCCTCTGCAAATTTCCCTATTATGTTTAGTGGGACCAAACAAAAGTATTGTGCCATCAGGGGCATTGTCAGATCTCCCACTGCGTGCAATGCTACACGATTTCCTGAACCTGTATTTCCCTCATCAGCCCAGAAAGAGTTCTTGTGAAGATCTCTTACTAAGAGAGCACAGGCCTAGCTGACAATCTCTTACTACTTCTGAGGTTGAAAGATGCACACTAAAATATGTCAGCAAGGACAGTAGGATACTGTGATGCATCTTGAATTTGGAAAGCAATTTGGCTTCTGAAACACAGAAGACAGGCAAACAGCACTGTCACCTCCCATATTTGCCATACTTTAAAGACATAAAGAAAAATACATTGGACTGGATTAAAAAAAAAAAAGCTTACATATATCAGAAATTAAGAGGAAAATTATCAAATGTAATTTATTATGTGCATAGTGTTCCATCATGTTGTAAATAAAACCATTACAGTGTATTGCTGTAGTTTGTTCTTGGCTGGTGATCAGAGTTCTGTTGTAGTGCTGTATGAATTCTGTTTTTAACTTCTCCTTTTGAAGTATAACTAGTAAAGATGGCACAGAGCACCAATACCCATGTTTCCTAGTTGTTCTAGAGCAAGAAGAAATGTGATATGCAGATTATTTTTTTCTTACATATTAACATCAAAAGAGGAAAGAGAAAGAGAGTCAAGGTTAAGCTGCCACTACCACCACGTGAAAAATACTTTGTGATTGCCAATGAGGTCGTGCATTTTGGACCACAATTAAGATGACCTGTTCCTGTGAGAAGGGATGTGAAGTACAACAACCCGTTAACAGCAGCTTTCTGGTACCATCTAGTACATCCTCTGTTCACAAAAAGAAAGATGAGAAAATAGAGTTGTTAGACCTAATCTCAGGCTTTATCAGCTTTGCAGCAATACGCTTAAATAGCAGAGGAAAAAAATAACCTTTGAACCAGGTAAAATACTATGAAAAACCCAAACATCTTGGCTAGCTCAACTTTGGAAGGGAGATCACAAGTCCATCAACAGGTTATGGTAACAAATCAAACACATTGCAAACATAAAGGGCACTTGTCACTGAAAATTATCAAAGATGGAGAGTCATCTTACTGTTATTAATTTTTATTAACTTTTTTTTTTTTAAGTGAGCTGCTTCTAGTTTTTATTGACAACATTTCTGGTGATTCCTCTGTCCAGTACTACTAAATGCTCGCACACAAATGGCTGGAGTGGCAGCTTGAAGCACAAATCCATCACAAATAAGATACACTCGATCTTTCTACGTGTAGAAGCCCATATGCAAGCCACAAAAACTACGTGTGGGGTTTCTGCATCTTCGCACAATACAGGAGACAGATGTGTGTTGGCTGAGCTAGATACTCAGCAGCATTTTCCCCTTCTGTTAAGTGACTTTCTGTTGTGTTTGTAATTGGAAGCAAATCCAAGCAGAACAGTACTAAATTATTTTTTTCTGCTAATTGGAGGATTTTTAATATGTTATTGTAAGTCAGTAGATCTAAGTATTTATGGATCCAGATCCCATTCTTTCGTCCTGATGGCTGCTACCACCTTCCTTTAATGTTGTCAATAAAAACTAACCTTTGTAGGTAGCATGGTGAGAAGACATTATGTGATGAATATTGAAGTAAATGCATGAGGTAAAACTGCTGTTATTTCTGATTGTTATATGAAGCATGAGTAACACTAATTTAAATGTTGGCAACCAAAAAAAGTGCAAAGGAATAAGATAATGGTGTTCACTTCTGGTTAAGTGAAGGACGAGAAGTTTTTTTCTGTTTTCTTCTTAACGACAACATTTTTTTTCTTTAGCATCATTTCCCATACCTTATATGAATTTGGACCTGGTGAAATATACATCTCTTCTGTATGTGTCTGTCACCAGATCAAGAGGAAAATAGAAACTTTTATAATTTTGTATCTGTAGCAAAAGTTTGTATTTTTTGAATCGGAAACAAACTGCTTTTTGTCTTTTGGTCTAAAACTTTGTGTATTATTATTACTCTTTTGGAAAAACCTGACATATGAGTTTATGCCGTTTTACAGTTTCTAAATAAATTCTTAAAACATTGCCAACAAATTCAGCATCAGTGGCCTTCTTACTGTTATTAAGAAGACTGTCACAGTGCGGATGAGGCACTCCTGCAGGATGCATGCCTGGCTGTTGATGCCTGCTTTGTTACCAGTCCATAACCTGGAGAAAGCCAAGATCTCTTCAGAGAAACCATCCATGTCTGAACTTAACACACGTGACACATCTCTGTCTCAGCATCACCCCATTACCTCTGGCTCATGTACTCTCTAGGGTGCATGGGGAGGTTATGTAGCTCTCACCCATTTAGACACTTTCCCAGAGACAGTTTCCCAGTCTCCAGAAATCCCTGATGCTGGAGGAAGCACAGCTTGAAAACAATGACAGCACCAGAAGGATCTGACTGGCTTCAGCATGTGTGCAAACAGGAACAACGCTGACTGTCACAGTAAAAGGCATAAGAAATAGCAGATAGGAAGAATGCAAAAGATTTCTCCTTTTCTCCCTTGTTTTGCTGCCTGACCGCAGATAACAGGCAAAATCAGATGGTCCCTGTTCTTCCTTGCCTGTAACAAATCTGTTATTCGGTCAATACTGATTTTCATGCATCAGTACATGCCCCCAAAACAACTGTTTGCTGCTTGAACATCCTAAATAACAGAGCATATAAGTGTAGTACATTCTAGTCCAGAGAAACAGTAAGTGCATAAAAGGTTCTCAGCAGTTTAGTTAGCCAAATGTCAGTCAATATCATTTTTGTTAACGTATCCAGTAACAAAATTGGACTAAAGCTATCATATTTTACTGAGAACATGATCCTGAAAGTAGGTAGCATGGCCAACTTAAGTCACTTTGATAAGGTGATATTAAAAAGCAACGTAGCACCATTTAACAGCAACTTCTTGTAATGCATCCACAGCACTGTGTGTTTACATGCTTAAAGGGTGAGAAAACACAACATTCTGAATAAGCTTCTTTTTTCTAAGGTTTGATGTTCTGCTGTCAGCTTTGCGTTTCAATTTTCAACTGTTTATTTTTAAAGAACTGAATTTCCTTCACCTCTTCTTTAACAGCACTTATAAAACCCCAGACCAGGACTGCATTAATTAGACATTCCATTCTGACCACAGTTCACCCCTAAAAACCTTTTGGGAGCTGTGGAGGTGGAAACTGAACCCTTTAAATTATCTAGGCTGAGTCAGTACACAAGCTCACAAGATGTATTAGACCCAAAGCCAGATAAACAGCACTTTATCTAGAAGTGGGCACTGTAAAACCAAGCTCAAGGATCAACCAGAAATTAAAAAGATAGAGGCTATTCTGTGACATCCAAAGCCCATCTGCTGCCTCAGCAAGTGCTGATGCTCTCTGTTCAATCCTGCTTGGTAATTACACCTTCACATGAAATCATGATTTGATATTTCTCCAGTCCTCATATTCAGTAAGCAGATGGGATATTAATTCCGGTTTGAATTTGCAACCAATACCGAACAGGAAGAAAACCAATTAAGCAATTATGAAACGTGATAACAGTGTTTAGCAATCCAGCTCTGGAGCTGTGTGGGAAGGGGAAGGGTGTGCAGAAACACTCCCTTCCTCTTTTTATCTTGCTCTATTTTCCCTCTGGGCTTGCTCCTTCCCTCTTTTTAGTCCTGTCTGTGTTGGCACAGCATTATCTCCAGGACTTGAAAGTAAGGTGGAAGGTATGGGGGAAGAAGAGTGTGAGAAAGCATCCCTTTCCATGCTGTAGTTCTCCCTACCTCAGGATAATTTCTTATCTTGGGAAGGGAGCAGCCTCTGGTGCTGCTGTTCTCATGCTAGCTGTAAGCTGGCTCAGACATCATCACTTGGTGAAGTCAGAGCTCACCTTATTCAGGCTCCTGGGAGGCAGCTAGGAAGCATGCTTCCCAAACCCTCCTGGATAAGCTGAAACTCAGTGAATAACAATTAATTCCATTTCCAATGGAAACACAACCTTCAGAAACAAACAAAAAAAACCACAACAACAACAAAACAAACAAAGCTCTAGAGGACAAAATTATTTCAGACAGACCAAATTGCTGAAATCCAAATAGCGCAGAAACTTCAGTTTTGACAAAGATTTCACAGAAAAAGCTTATGAGGCACAGGAACACTGATCAAAACAAATGTGATATAACCGTGAACAATCAGGAGGTACTAAGTGTCTGTGCCTCATCTAGTATTTAGCTCAGGTCTTGAATCTTGTCTGTTTTTGTACCCTGTCTTACACATCACTACCGCCCCCAAAACCACCACCTGAAACAGTGACTATTTAGAGTACTCTGGAGATGTACAAGTTGAATTTCTAACCCTTACCTGGGACAAAACTTCAGGAAAAGCTCATTTTCATTCTCAACCAGGTAATTTTGAAGCCTTAAAAGGCTTTGCTGGGCAGGAGAACTGTCTGTTGTGCAGCTCCCCTACCTGCTAACAATTCAGATAAGCAGAAACAGATGCCTGGTAAGTAAACACATAGTAACACCTACTTCAGGTTCAGAGCAAATAAGTTATTGCTTTTGCCATGTTCCTTCAGATGAAAGCAAATAGCTACATATTTGAATTCATTAACTAATGGATTAAATTAATATTTTGCTTAGAGCCAGTAAGCTAATTCTAGAAAGTGAAAAGAAGCAACATGCTTTCTTTAGCACATACTGACTAATAAAAATAGCCTGTACAACCTTCTTAATTATTAAAGTCTTATTTTTATTTACAAAATGGTAAATTCTCATATTCCCCTGAAGAACAAATGGAAGATAGAAAAACCTGCAACAAAAAATAAGGTACAAGAATTACAACATGGTTAACAGGGCAAGGGGCTATGTTTTGGTGGCAGTGTGAATTCTGTCTTATGGCTTTTGTCCATCTCCTTTTGTATCGTAAGCTCATTTGACAACTTTAGATGATTTAATTTTCTTTATGTCACCACTTTGTAGAATCAAGGTTCCATCTCTGAATTTTCCGACTTGTCCAGCAGCCCAAATGCTAGGCACTGATTTCTTCCTTTTGGCCTTCCTGAAATATGAGGGGGGGAAGAAATGAATCAAGAGAAACAGCAGAAACTCATGAAAATACTCAATTTAGTGAAAAACATCACTTATTTATGCAGTCATTGTTGATATTATGGAATACCAAACCAGAGCAGGTAACAACCCCAAAACATTTATACTACCATTCCCCATCCAAACATGTAGCACATTACAAAATGAACTACATTAAAGTGAGCTTAAAACCACAAAGACTTTCAGATAGACAAAGGAGATAAAGAGTTTCACATGTCAGTGAGCCTGCTGCACTATAATTAAGGATGTCACTTTACCTTCCAAGCCTCTCTATGTGGCAGCTTGTGTTTTGCAAAAGTTATTTCTCAGGGCAAATGCTCTCAGTGGCATATTGTAGGTCCCCACACAGGCATTCCCATCCATCCCACTTCCAGCTGCAGTCTTAAACATGCCAGGGCAGAACTGACACATTTTCAGTTAAGCTGCATACCTACAGCCTCTGGAGCTGCTAGACACGGAACAAGCTCATCATTTTGCAACAAAGAGTTCTGCAGTTTGAGAAATGCACGTGTATGACTTGTGGTGTAAGACCGTGCATAGTTACACGGGAGCAATACACTGGGAAAGCTATACGAAATAAATTTACCAGCCTTAAAAATGTCTCACCTCTCCTTCAGGTCTTTCTTCTTCTTCTTCTTCAGAGAATCTCCTTTGTGTTCCTGTGTTTAAAGATACATATTTTAATGGCAAAGGAACCGAGCATCTCGGCTAAACAACCCTCTGCACAAACAGCACACAGTTCTCTTCACTTCACAGAGCACAATGCATAAAAACAGGCTGGGAGACCTGACAGGACAAGTGATGCAACGCATCCGGAGGCACCACACCATGCCCAGAGCCCTTCCCATCACCATGTGGAAGGCACAGCCCCCTCATGGCAAAAACGCTGCCCCTGCCACATTGAGGAGGTGCAGATTCAGCTATGCAAGGGAAGAGACCTGCCTTTTGGGTATGTGATAGATCTTTGGGTCAGAAGAGCCACTTGCTAGCAGGCAAAGACACCTAGCTGCCTGCCTGAGTGAGCCTGTCACACCACAGGGCTCGCCTGCATTTGGCCATGCACTGGGTTGTGCTTTGAGCCACGTGACAAAGAAGGAGAAGTAGGTCCCCTGGAAAAGGTGGCAGGAGACAGGCTGGTGGAGCAGAAACCTGCCCTGCAGCCTGCTCCCATCTACGGCAGAGGCAGGGAACAGGCTTGGGGCCAGAGAGGCCATGCTACAGGATAGATGCAACAGAAACCTCACCCTTGCTTTAAGTAGTGAGCAAGATCCTAGATGGAACTGTGCTGATAGAAAACCAGCTGAAGATCTGGCTTTCTGTGGTTATTCAACAAGCACTAATTGGAGGTAATATGCCCTTGAGAAGCATGAAAAAAATAAATAGTTGCTGACTTCATGTCATCAGTCTACCAGCCTCCAAAGATGGGGCACTGTAGGTGCAGAATTTTTGCCTGCACTTTCACACTGCCCACAACCAGCTTGGACTGACGAGGTGAGTCCTGCTGGAGTCAGGAACCCACTCCATAGGGAGCAGCAGACATCAAGCCCAGGCACCCCTCCTGTGCCTGAGGCATTATCTGTCAGGCTCTTGGGCTAGCTCTTACACGCTGAATTGTTAAAGACAAAATTCCACACAAACCTTTCCCTTATCGTCTTCCTTCGCTGCTTTTTTCTCTTTCATTTTCTCTTGATATTCCTTGTAGTTGATGTGTTGCTTTTTGGGGGGCTGCAGAAAAGATTGGGAATGATACCAGCAATGAAAATTTTCAAATAGATTCAAAAATATATTCACATTTGCATGGAAATAATTTTTCAGGTGGTGGGGAGGACAGAAGACATAGTTTATTTCATTTTGGATGAGAGGAAATGACTTAGGGTAGATACATAGGAACATACGTTTCTTGGCAGAGAGGGATGTTTATGTTATGTAGCAGACCTACAGAGTTTCCACAGTAACACTGAGCCTGAAAAAAACACAGTCCCTTCCCCACTCCCAAAGACCTAGGAAAACTGTTAACTCACTGGGAGAAAGAGGCTTTAAAAAGCTTAAGAATAAGTTCCTCCTCCAGCCATTTAGTTTTGAATGGCCTGATTAAAAATTGGTAAATGCTGTTTTCCATCCCAACCAGTCCTATTTCACCTAAACACCTCTGATAAGACAAGCATACTAATTTTCCAAACGTCTATAGAAAATAGGCAAGACTGAATAAAAAATGTAAAGTCAGCATGAGGTGGGAGAAAGGGCATGGGATGGAATCTGGTGTTTTAAAGTAGTGCCCAAACCCCACAGTGTTTATCACCTTCCTGCATTGTAAGAGCTGGGTCACCTCCGAGCACAAAACAAGCAAGAATTACCTTGGCTCCCAGCATGATGGCCCGTTCCCGTTCCCATAAACGCTGCTCTTGCTTCTGATAGCCAGTGATCCCAAACTTGTGCACTTCCAAGCGAGCCTAAAACATCATAAAAAAATTGCAAGCATTTTGTAATCGTCTGACCTGTTGTAAAATACTTGGCAGACCACAACAAAGTCACGCTCCCAGAGAAACCTTAGCTAAAACCTGAATTTGGCATGCTATAAAATAATACTGAGTTTTGAATTATACTGCAGAACACTTAACTGCTGTCCATCTAATCTCTGGACAATGAGGACTACCAGAGGGTCAGTATTTGATTCTCATTTCACACAGAACTAGACACATGGGAGGGACCTGCTTTGTATAAAAGTGAACTATGTTGTGCTGTACAGACCTGAACAATAAAACATGCTACCCACAGCACCCAGCAACTGCAGAGCACTCCCATTCCTTGGCTGCAGAGCTTTTGACCAGTGAGAAACACAGATGGGCATCTGGTGCAGTGGTTCAACTACGTAAATACACGTACAGAGTTGCCACTACACCAGAACTCCCTGGCAAAACCAGCAAGGAATTCATAACCTTTAGAGAGGTAGTAGTTAAAGCCCCAGTGTTTCCAGCAGTACCGCCCTCCACACAGAATCTCCACTGGAAGGTCTTGCTGGATCACAGCACGACCCTGGGCAGAGATTGGGCATACAAAACAACTCGCACAAATCTGCAAAAAAATCTGTAGCTAAGAAGGCAACTGCTTGCTACACTTACAGAACAGCACAAAAAAAATAAATGGAAAGAAGTCATCTTTTATTTCAAAAATGGAAGCCAAGCTGCTTTTTTTTTTTTCTTCATTTCCATATGGGACCAGAAATGCAAATTTAGCACCATGTGCCTAAAACAGCATATGCTACGCATCATGGATCCTCACAGAGCTTCACACTGCTGACATACAGTGCAGCTCCTCAAATTATCAGTGAGGGATCAGAACGAAAGGACACCAAGTTGTAATGTGCCTCTGTCCATACAGAGCTGTCCACACAGTCCTCCTCCAGCACAGCACATGGCCAAAGTAACATGAAAAGCTAACTTTTTCTAGCAGTGTTTCTCCTTGGTCCCACCGTAGCTTTCCCAAGCATATAGATACACAGACATGCACAATAAAGTGCTGAGATTTGACAGATCCCGGTGACTTACTTTTTCAAAGTTAAATTCCTGCTCGTTCACGGTCTTCTTTTCAGCCACTGCTTTGGCCTATAAGCAAAATAAAACATTTCCATTGAATATGAGAAGTAAAATCAATTTAAAAACCGATTCTGATGGATGTTCAGAAAGCAGTGAAATGCTAAAATGGGTGGTTGTGGTATCTTTTCCTGGTTTTACTACCCTGATTTATTAAAAGACAAGTCTCGGGTATTTTAATATGTAGATATTGTGGGGTCTTTCTGGAGCAGCCTCGCACAGTTAGCGGGGTACCACCACAGCCTCCTCCCCGAGCTGATGCTGGGGCAGCTCCCGAGAGCCCAGGCACAAACAAACAAACATAAAAACGAGAAATAAAGAAAGAAATCCACGCTTCGAGCCCCGTGCCTACCTGTGGGCCGCCGTGGGGTGGTGGCGGCCGCCGCTTGCCCCCGCGGAACAGCACCACCTCCACGGGCTGCGGGGCGGCGGGCGGGGGGGCGGCGTTGCGGAGCTCCTCCCGCAGCCCCTCGAAGAAGCCTCGAGCACCCCGCTGCCCCCCCGCCGCTCTTCCTCCTCCTCCTCCTCCTCCTGCTACTGCTGGTGCTGCCGGCTCCTTGCTCTCCTCCTCCACCTCCTCGCCCCCATCGCCGGGCTCCTCACCTGCGCGGAGAGGAAGCCATCATTCCGCTCCAGAGTGAACACCCCCCCTCCACACACACCCCCACCCTTAATTTTGGGGAGCCTCCCGCCGCCCCCCGCTCACCCACCCAGGTCGTAGAGAGCCCCGAGCACCGCCTCCAGCCGCCGGCAGGGCTCCCTGGCCCCCATGGCCGCGGCGGGGCGGGCGGAGGCACCGCGCGGTCGCGGGCGGCTGCCGTCAGCCCTAAGATGGCGCCGCCCATGGCGCGGCTCCTCCGCCCTCCCCCGCGCCCGCCCCAGCCCCAACCCCAGCGCTGCGGGCAGCCGGGCCGGGACCGGGGCCGGGACCGGGGCTCCGCGGGGCCATGGGGGCCGCAGCCGCAGCCGCAGCGGCGGGGTAGGGCGAGGCGCGGTGCTGCTGCTGCTGCCGCTGCTGCTGGCACCATGGCGGCGGCGGCGGTGCCCGGGCGGGCGCGGCGAGGGACGCCCATGTACTCGGTAGGCTGCCCGCGGGGGGCTGCCCGCCTCGCCCCCTCCCCAAACGCTGGGACGGCCCCCCGGGGGGATTTGGGGATGGCTGCGGGGGCAGGGCGCCCCGTCGGGTCCCCGTGCCTTCTGGGTGAGGGGGATGGAGGGCAGGGGGGGAGTCGTGGTGTCTGCGGGGATCCCCGATCTCCGTGTCCCCTGGTGCCACATGGGTGCGTCGTGAGTGCTCCCATTTTATTGTTTTGGAAAATATGGGGAAGGCAGAGGTGTTCCTGGCTCCCACCGCCTCGTTTCTGTCACTGCCGGTGCATCCATAGCCGCCTGCCCCACTGGCTTCTTCGCCTGGAGGCTCCCGGGGGGGAGCCCACGCAGCGCCTCGGCTGTGGGGCACGAGAGGAGCGAGGCGCTTCTCCCGGCATTAGCTCAGTGCTGCCTCAGGCCGGGACACGAAAATACCTACTGCTGTGGGAAGAAACCCGTGGCAGGTCAAATCCAGAAATCTGAAATGGAGACGAGTGGCAGGGAGGTGACTTGGCCTTTGGCTGTGGCCTTGGTGAAGCCCCGCTCGGCAGACGCGTCCTGCAACGGCTGTGGCAGCGCAGCGGCTCCTGATGAGGCTGACAATACCGGGGCTGAGTGCTGGGTTGCTTCCTTTTTTGTTGTTTCTTGTGTTTTTATCATGGGGTTGCACGCTGTAGGATTTAAACTTTGGTGATTCCAAGAAATGTTGCTTAAATTTTCTGGGTAACGTCTTGTCTCGTACTGACCTAAGCAGGTGTGTGCTTAGAGCCGACCACTGTTTGCTGAGGCTATTTTGAGCTATCGTTCACTGTTATAAGGCATAAGTGTTTTTTTTTTTTTTTTTTCCTGTTTTATTTTTAATCAGGAGGGTTGATATAAGGTATCAAGGCAACTGATGACTAATACCAACTATTTCCAGCCTCCTTGTCACTTTGTGGCTTGCATGGCTCTTGCAAAATATAAGCCAGGTGAAAACCATGGGAGAAGACAGATTGAAAGCTGTAATACTAAACTTCCACGGTATCTCATGCTGATGAATGGACAGGAGCAAAATGTTTGCTCTGTCCTCACTTTAAATGTCAGCTGCTCTCGATAATGTTGCTGATGTGGCTGCGGTCAACCAGCAGTGAAAGCTGACTCCCTCTCCTGAGGCTGAAAACCTGGCTGCTGCTGCTGCTGGGCATTTTGCTTATCTGTTCCTGGAGTTCTCCTGTGCGTTTGCTGGCCAGGCTTTCATCTTGAGGCCAGTGAAGGTCACTCTGACAGCCCGTGAAGCAATGTGTTCTCTCCTTCGCTTTCAGACTGGTTCTGCACAGGTTGTAGAGGGGGAGAGAAGGCAAAATGAGTGGAAGGGGTGCCTGTGCTGCCCTTCAAGTTGTGCTGAAGAGGAAGACGCGAGCATTGTTATCTTAGCATCTTCTACTAATAAATGTGCTTAATCATAACCATTTCCTTTGTGTTGTGCTGAGCCTTGCTTGCCTGATGACTGTTGCTGCTGTTCTGAAGTGTGAAGGAATACGATTTAAAGACTAAGGGGTCATTCACGTGATCTGTGCTGTGAGAGGAGATAATAGGAGACATCTCTCTCCAGCATGGGAGATGCCCACTGACTCAAGGAGAAGAGTTTTGTCACTGAGATTTCTCAGCTAGCTGTGCATGTACTGCTAGCTTTCCTACTTACTAGTGATGCTGGTCACTCAGGGACTGTGCTCTCTTTACACCATGTTGCTTTTTGGTCTTCATGTGGCTGGTAATGTTTTTTTTTTTGGTTCTGTTCCTACCTGGCTATGCGTTCTGTACCTTATGTCCAAGCCTGGTGAAAGCCAGCAGCGATCACCGAGATCCCACATCCAACTTAAAGCAGGATTATTTCTGGTGTTGATGATTGTGTTTTTATAATGTCATGCATGTTATTGCATTCATGCAGCTGCAAGAGTAGGGATCAAAGCTGTTTCAGTTAATACCTCTTAATCACGAGGAGGCTGGAGGCAAGGCATTTTAGCTTTAAAGCTTAGGTGTTTCCTCAGCCTCTTCCTGTTGGACAGAATTAAGTAATGTGGCATATGGTGATTTGGGGACCTTTGTGGAGGGAAACGGTAGTTTATTTTGTCTTTGGTTTCTTTTGTTTTTAGTTTCTAATTGCAGCATTGTTCCAAGCAGGCAATATTTGTTCATGCACACAGAGCATGGAAAGGAGATGTTGTAGAAAGGTTAACAAAAAAAAAAAAACATTACAAAAATTGTGCACGCTATTATTTTACTGCTGTAGGCAAGCAGATCACTGAATCTCTCGAGACAGTGTCTCATTCTTTATTTGTATGTTCCCAGCAGAAAGAGCTCACGTCAAAGAAAAGGGATGAGTTTGAAGATATCTTGGAGGAAAGGCGATTGTCCAGTGACTTGAGATATGCAATGAAATGTTACACTCCTGTGATCTACAAAGGACTTTCACCTTGCAAGCCAAATGCTATTAAAACTGCTGTTCTGCAGTCAGAGCAAGTTCAGTATGTTATCAAGCAGGTGAGTCTGAACACTGAGCTGGAAGACGAAGTAGATTGAACAGAGCCAAATTTTGTGTGGCAATGAGGGAAAAAAAAAGTTATTGCTGGTCTCGTCAAACACCAGAGCTGTAGTTTGAAAGGCACTCTGATAAATCAGTAACTAGGGAGGCACACTCTTTTGGCAAGAAGAACAAATACTGGTTTACCAAAGAGTTGCCACTAAAGTTGTTGTGTCGTAGTGTTTTCATTTTCTGTATACGACATTTTACATCCAACTTAACCAATGTGCTTGACTTCTTTTTTTTTCTCCTCCCCTGTCCTTGATACAGAGCAGCATTGAAAAAGATTTTACTTAGTAGTTTTTGTATTTTGAGGATGTTGTAGCAATTTTATAGGCTAGTGATTTATTTATGAATAAGTCATATTCCCTAAAATGAGAGTTATATTTTGACAGAAATTTTTCAGACAAGTGTCACGTGGTTAAAGGAAGTTAGTTCTGCCATTGCAATCTAGTTCTCAGCTTTGGACTAGAAATTACTGAAAGTATTTCTGGCCTCTAAACTGAGCTGTGCTGTTTGGGAAGCTTTTTCTTCTGTCACTCTTCTTCTTTCTTCCTACTTCATGTGCTATAAAAGGCATGTTCCTCATTCTATAACAGCAAAAAAACCCCAAACTTTTCAACTAAATATTTATATATTTAGGAGAGAATGTAAATCTATCCCTCTATGTAAATAGAAGAGATAACCGTTATTTAAGTCCGTTTTAAGAAACTTCAAAAGGGAATGTGTGTAAGGACAGAAAAAAAGAACATTGATATGCAAAGCTGGTAGAGACAGCGCTTTGTATGCATTTCAGCTAGCAATTGCAACAGTAATACTCTACAAAGAAAATCAAGCTTGATAGGGCCGAGGTTCTTCAGCCAAGTTTGAAAATCCAATCCAAATGCACTTCAGAGATTTACTGAAATATCTCTGCAAACATAAGTTTCTTTTTCCTGGATAAAGGAAATTGCACACAGCCTTCTTTAGACCAATAGTCTATGAAATATTCTTAGGACTGAGCCTGCTCCAAAGACGCTACAGGCTAAAATATTCAGATGGCGTGTTTGGGGGGGGAGGGGAGGAAATGTTACTACCCACCCCCCATTGACAGCTAAGCTCACCATGGATTTTGAACAGCTTTAACTTGGCTTTCACTTGCTGGTTGACAAAGAACAGATTCTGTGAGATTAGAATGTCCATATGAATGTCCTGTCCCATAAAATAAAATCTTCCTGGCTATTGCATTAGTGTTGCCATAATTGTTGTGGCACATTGAAAGGTGTGCACGGGCAAGGAGAAAGAAACCACATCTGACTGCTCTTTTGTTTGTTTTCTCTTCAGTTAGCAAAAGAGATGGGAGAATCACCTGATATTATTCAAGAAGAAGCCACAGAAATCCTGGATGAGATGGGTCACAGTATGCAATTAGGAGCCGTCAGATTTTTTGCCTTTACTCTGAGCAAAATATTTAAACAGCTTTTCCAGAGGGTTTGTGTGAATGAAGAAGGAATGCAGAGAGTGAGTACTGCTGAGGAAAAATAAAAAGCTGTAATGTTTTCATGCTGGTTGCTTAGGCAAAGAATCCCATCTTCACTTCCACTAAAAAATACAAAAAAAAAAAAACAAAAAACAAACACTACCACCAACAAAAAAGACTGCACTTAAGTTTATTGCAGCTTTTCTAAATAAAGGGAGGGAAAGACAGATGATATGTAAGTTTTTGAGGCAAACAGTCAGCATCGGTTTTTGTACGCTTTTCCAAATATTTCTTGTGGTAAGAAGATGTTTTACATAAAGCATCTTGCAGCTTTTGCAGAGATTATACAGGCCTTCATTTGGGATACATTTGGCAATGAGGAATATACGATCTGTAAGATTTAAATGAAAAATAAAATAATAAAAAAAAAAAATATATATATATATATATATATTGCTTGTGCCATGTATTTTGATGCTTAGAAGAAATTTGTTTAAAACTTTTTAGTAGGATAAGAGTAATTGTGATTTTGCAAAAGTGAACTGTGCACATTATTTATGTTTGCATTTTTTTCCAGAGGGTTGTCATTAAAGGTAAATAGTTTTCAAAAGAAGACACAGGTGACTGTCATCCTCTCTCTCTTGTTGCTTTTTTTTCACTTCTGTAATTCTTTTGCCAGCTCTTCAGGGATTTGAATTCCTAATTTTTTTAATAAATTTCTCTGTATGACTAATTTTGGTCAAGTGATTTATGAGATGTAAGATGAGAAACCTGTATTCAACAGTTTTGTTTCGAGAATACTTTGACCTCTTTTCTTTTAGTTTGATTTGCCATTTAAAATGGCAATTAATACAGTACATTCTTGAAGCAATTTCCATGTGGGTTGGAACATGACAATAGCTACCTGAGCAGTAGATAAATAGAAATGCTGGAACTGTTTCTGGAGGGAAAGAATGGTATGTGGCCAAGAATATAAAAAGAAAAAGTTAAAGTTTTTTATTGCTTAATTCTATGTGGCTGAGTGGGTTGGCTGTTCTGCCAAACCTTCATGCAGCTAAGATCCACGAAACACTGTGTACCTCTGAGGCAGGAGATGCCTGAAGTTTGCCCCAGTCCGGTGGGGATTTGTTGTGCCCTGTTTCATTGCAGGTTGTCACCCCTCTAGAGGAGGGTACAGTCTGTGTCCTGAAAGACTTAACAATGTCAACCCTTACAAGCCCTACTGGGTTTCCCGTTCCCATCAAAAGGGATTTGGATTGTGCCATCATGTAATGAGGTGGCCCTGCCTTTTGAGTCTTGTGCCTACAAATCACAGGTTGCTATTCTGGAAGCTACTGCTCCAAATTTCCTTCGACTCCATGCTGAAAAAGTATGAAAAGTACGTGGATAGAGAAACCACCCGCATCAACAAATCACCTTTTGTTTGTCTGAAGCCACGTGAAGATCTGTATTTGCAAATTTCAACAGTTGTTCTGCAAATATTGGAGCAATATTGTTTGTTCTGGTCTTATTTTTCAGCTGCAGCATGCCATTCAGGAGCACCCAGTTGTACTGCTGCCCAGTCACCGAAGCTACGTAGACTTTTTGATGCTGTCTTACTTGCTGTACACGTACGACTTGGCTTTGCCTGTCATTGCTGCAGGAATAGGCAAGTATGTTGTTTGAACGGTGTTTTCAGGATTCAGAGTACTGATAGCAACTGGTCTGGTATTTGCTGCTATAAATACTTGTGTTTAACTTCTGTTCCAAATACATTTTGTTAGAACCCCCTTGAGTTAGATGTTTGCAGTGTACGTGCCTCTCCTCTGTGCTGAGTGCCATCATAAGTGAATTTTTTCATAGCAAGTTCAGCCAGAAGCACCTCACCTGCAGACCCAAAGCTGGGCAAAGAAAGGTGTTTGAAGCAGACTTCTATATTACTGTCCTCGCCCAGAAACAAGCAAAAACTTGGCCATGAGCTCCTGTGTACACAGAAGGTTTTGCAATACCTGATATAGTTCTAAGCACAGTCATAGTAGCCAGATACGAAGTGCCAATCGCCTTGTGCTGGTTGGTGGTGTGACCGACTCCCTTGAAAGCATTGGCAGAGCTTCATTATGCCAAGTGCTGAGAGCAGAGCTGGCTGAGAAACAGAACTTTGTCAGAGGGCAAACTGGCAAAGTTTTGAACGTAATTCTAAAGCAGATTAAGCTGGTTTTATTTGTGGGAAGCAGTTACTGAAAACCAACAGTATCTTCTCAGTCAATGTGCTTTTTGAAACTCCTGTTTCTATGGCAGCATTTAACCAAGAAGCCTGATCTTGGAAGTCTGGAGTGTCAACCAAGTCTTCTAAGCAGGCATTCTGGGATCTGGTGCAGTGCTGTGCATGCACAGGCAAGCTAGCAAAGATCTGGGAACCTAGTACTCTCCTCTAGTTTGCTAGATTCTCTCTCAAAGACTGGGGAATGAATGAGCTTGGAATAAACAGATAAGGTGCTCCTCCCCATGTCACTTTTGTCAGATGAAAAAATGTTGCAGTGCTTTTGATGGAAAAGTATGTGAAGATGCTGCCATCAGCCTAAACTGCTTTCCATTTTCAGTAGATGATGTTTGATATCAGGAGCTTTGAGGAACCTCTCACACAAAAGGTGTCACAGATTTTTTAGAACTGTTTTAAGTAAGCACCTGTAATGGTGAGAAGTTGTCTGTATTTTTTTCAGGTCTGTATTATGCTGACCTTTCCTCCCATTAAAAAGAATGGGGGCAGGGGTAATTTATGCCATTTTTGGAACAATTTCACCTAATCTTCTTCTGATGCTGTAATACAGATTGGATCAGATGGGAATCTTCCAAGGGTGCAGGCTAGATCTTTACTGTTTTTTCCAGTTGGGAGATTGAGAATACCAGTAAAAAATCAGAGGAAGCTGGGAGAATAAGGAAGACAAGATGCTGCTGATATGTGAAGTAGGGGTATCCTGCCTTCTGTGTGATGCAGGTTAGCTTCAGGTGACTTCAGAATTTGATGTCTCATAGCTGCCTTTATCAAGGTGCTACAGCTACTTACCTGTCACATATTATTCTGAAGCTGCTCACATGCCAACGCAGATATCGGTGTGGTGCTTTGTTAACTTTTGGATTAGACCCACTTTAAGTTTGGGGCCTCAGAGCAGTATCTACAGATACTAGTACAAAAAAGATATTGCGTGTGTGTGTTATTTTAAGTTCCTTAAGTGAAAATACATTTGTCTGATTGTAGTCACATGTACAATGTGTTGTTAGAGGTTCACAAGATGTGGTACACAAACTAACTCAAGGTGGTACTTGTGCTGAGTCTCCTGATTGAGGAATAAGTGCCTCTGCTTTGTTAGTTGTTGTTTGGTTTCAGGTAGCGTACACCTAGATCTGTGGGGATTTGCTGCTATTGCCACCCAGAGTCCTGCAGCCAATTTCCTTTTATTTATTTTATACAGTGAGTGAATCTCCATTCTCAAATCTTTCATTGATTGAGGTAGCAAGAAGGCTGAAGCAGCAAATAGCCGGCTGCTGTGTAGGCTCATTTTAAATGTCTCATGAATAAATTTAAATGTTTCCAAGTTTTGGCAAGTTAAACACTGGTTATGATTGCTTGAAACTAGAAAATTACCAAAAATTTTAGCTGATTTAGTCTACCGTTCCTAAATTGATGAGTGAGGCTCTCAAATGGTATAATGTAACATAATTGGTCAGTTAATTTCCAGGGTTAATTTCTGTGTCTTCCGGGATATGTTCAATGGTAACTGAAGATGAGTGAGACAATGTACTTGAAAAAAAAAATACATAGTCTTCATTAGGGCTGAAATCTGGGCATCTAAATTATTGAAACAAATTGCTCTAAGTGAATGCTCTTTCCAAAAATAAAATATAAAACATTGAAAGCATCTTATAACATGACAATCACGTCTTCCAAGTACTTGCAACAGAATCCTTGAAAGAGATCTCCTTTATCCTGGTAATTGAATCACTTTATTACATAAATTGTTTGTTTCTGCTGAAAGATATTAATCAATAAGTTTTGCGTTTGTGGTTTTGTTTTTTGTTGGATTGTTTTTCAGATTTCCTAGGAATGAAAATAGTTGGTGAGCTGCTGCGAAGGGCAGGTGCCTTTTTTATGCGGCGTTCCTTCGGTGGGAACAGGCTCTATTGGGCAGTTTTTGCTGAATACGTAAAAACTATGTTAAGGGTAAGTAAATTACTGAACTCTCAAAGTGTATGCTTCAGAAATAATGTATTGCAGCGATTCATGTTAAACGTGCATGATGTGGGCAGGAGATTGAAAGTCTTCATCGTGGTCTGAGGAAACGGATTTTACCTCAGAATTCATTTGTGAAGAGCATGTTTGCAGTCTCTTCCTGCAGTTCATCAGTGGGTGATAAACAAATTGCTGAGCTTCAGTTTCCGAGGCTCATGCGTCCGTATCTCATAACAGACAAAATATTTTTATTAATTTAACTGTATGTTGTGGCAAATACAATAGATGAATATAAGCTTCAAAATGACTGAAGTTAGAGATGCATGGCTTCCATTAAAAAAAAAAAAGATTACTTTTTAAGTACTTAAAATTATTTGTGAGTGGTAAAGATGAAATGTTTTTATGTTTCTGACAAGCTTTTTTGTTTGTTTTACTTTTGTAGAATGGTTATGCCCCAATTGAGTTTTTTCTTGAAGGGACAAGAAGCCGCACTGCCAAGACTCTGACTCCAAAGTTTGGTGGGTTTGTTGGACACTTGGAACTTTTTATGATTAATGTTTTCCGTAGTGGTTATGTTATTCTACAGTTCCTCAGATAGGAAGGGATGTTGAAGTGGTAGGAAATTGGCGAAGTCTGTCATAATGGAAAAAAACACTATAGCTTGATTTCCAAGGCCAAATAAAGAAGGGCAATACATGCCTCTTGCACTCTGTTTCTTTCTCTCCCATTGTGTAACTAATTGCATAACTCTTCCCTTTTTTCTTTCTGGAAAATAGGCTACCCCGTACCTGCACAGAAGTATTTTGAGCTGTTTGTAAAAGACAAGGGGAATCTTTAGAAAGATGATGATGAGCAAGTGCAGAGAAGTGCTGTTGAAAAGAGCACAAACAGCTGTCCAAATGCATTGCTTAAATTTACCTTCTGTTTAAAGCTTGGACAGTGTCTTCTGCTTCTGCTTAGTGAAAGAGAGAACAAACATAACATTCACCTATTTACAGTTTCTAAAACTTACTTAACTTTGAAAAAGATATCTTGCAGCTGCTTTTCACTTGAAGACAACTGTTTCACCTTTTTTTTTTTTTTTTTTTAATCCACTTTGCAGGTCTTCTCAGTATTGTGATGGAACCATTTTTTAAACGTGAAGTCTTTGACACGTACCTTGTTCCCATCAGCATCAGCTACGAGAGGATATTAGAAGAATCTCTCTATGCATATGAACTCCTAGGAGTCCCAAAGCCCAAAGAATCTACATCTGTGTGTAAATTCCTTAAGAACAGAATATAGGTGAATGCATACACACCCTGCAGCGCTAGAATGTTATTTCTGCTCTTCCCATTTTTTTAGGGGTTGTTAAAGGCCAGAAGGATCCTCAGCGACAACTTTGGTACCATACACATCTACGTTGGCCAGCCGGTGTCACTTAGAACGTTGGCTTCTGGGAGAATCAATCTCTGCCCGTATAACTTGGTTCCCAGGTACCAGATCTTTCCATGACTTATGCACAGGAAAAACATTTGTTTATGTGTAGTCCTCAGCAATGTAAAAATAATTAAGAAGGTTTTTTTTTTTTCTTTTTTTTAACTTTGGTTTAATTTCTCTCCTCTGCCCTCCATTTGACTACTGAAGATGTTTTGTCTGCACTCGTAGCTATCATGTTTGTGACTGGCTGTTTCTGAAATAGGTTGTTACTTCCATTGCTCTGTTCTAGGTTGAAAAGGTGCCATTTTAAAAGTTCATGGTGGTGTATGAGTCTGGCAAAACTTTATTTTCTCAGAATTCGGTGGTTTTGTTACTTTAAAAATCTACTTTCTTTCCCTTCTTGCTTTATTACTGCTAACAGTTAGGTGATTGTGTACCAAGAAGCTTCAGCTATGGCTAGAATTGGGTGAATTTGCAATTTGTTATATAAAATTATAATGCTTTCGAATGTTTTTCAGGATAGCAAGTGTATAGCATCAATACAGAGTTCTGTTTCAAATATTTTTGTGAATCTACTGATGTTTTTCTCTGTACTACATAGTGCATAGGTAGAATTACCCTCCAGACATTAGGTGCTGTAAAGTAGTTATGGATCTTGGAGCAATACAGAAGAAATCTGTAATATAAATCATACTCTTCCCTATTTTGGAGCTTTTTAACCTTGAACTGCATGGTTCTTTTCAGACATCTTCCACAAAAGCCATCTGAGGATATCCAGGAATTTGTCAGTGATGTGGCGTATAAAATGGAGCTCCTGCAAATCGAAAACATGGTTTTGAGCCCGTGGGTGCTAGTTGCTGCCGTCCTGCTCCAGAATTTGCCAGCTATGGATTTTGAACTTCTAATAGAAAAGACACTGTGGCTGAAAGGCTTAACACAGACTTTTGGAGGTTTCATTGAATGGCCTGGTATGCACAGAATGTGTTATTTCTATTTATTTATTTTTTTGTTTGTTTGTTTATGAAGGATAAATTATTTTTATGTGGAAGCAGTGTATAGTGACAATGTTACAGATTTGTTTTCATGGGTGCTGAGTCATAAATGGATTTCAGGATATGCCAAAAATGATGCTAAAATAGAAAGGGTTTTGCCCTAGGGCTATAGAAGATGCTACTCTGAAAAACAGTTAGGTTGAGGCAGGGCAGGTATTTTACTGTTATTTCCTGAAGCGTGTAATGAGCGAGAAATTATAGACTGTTTTATAACGTCTTTCTGAAGGTGGTCTTAAGTCCTAGGCAATTAATTACCAAGTCTGCAACAGTACCTCAGTAAAATGCTACATTTATTGCTTGATATTGGCTATGAGTTGGTACTGTGATAAAGAACTAGCGTAAACAAATGTGTGAAATAAATAAAACCAAAGCTATAATCTATAGCTATTTATTTTTAAATTTGACTTCACCCTTTCGGGGATGCAGTGATGACTTTTGAGGTAGTGGCTTCTGTGTTTTTATATTATACACACACATACATAAATAAATATATATATATGTATTTGTGGAAAGGTTGATTCTTCTTCCTCTTCTGAACACTTGTTTTAAGCATCTCTCTTTGAGCCAAGCTGACACAGGTAATTTGGTTTGGAGCCTCAGGACATAAGTGGATTAGCTGGCAAAGAAAAATAGTGTGTGGTGCAAAAACCTTTTCACTGTAGGTATATTTAAACTATGGATCTTCACTTTTGTACTTGTGTATAATCAAGGATCACTCTCAGTATTGCAACAGAGAAATATGAGCAGGCCACAGTTATAACAGAGCTCTCAGTTCTGGAAAAATATCACTTCTCCTTTCAGGTATCTTCACTGTAGTAAATGGGGATGCAGTCTGCTCCTGCCAGACTGTGAAAGGAAAAATGTCATGGTGGTGTTTAACATCATTTAGAATCTTACTGCTTAGTAAACTGAAGAATATACTGCATTTGGGTCTGCTTATTTATTTTGTTTTCTTAGTAAAAATGAATAAGCTTTTGCTTTAGTTGCAGAGAACGGAATATAGGCAAGGTATTGAGATGGAGGAAAAGATTTTGTTTGAGTGCGTTGGCCTTGCACTAGGTGTCATTTGCATAGAAACAGAGTTGTTTGTTCATTTGGTTTGAATTGTCAATAATTTGAAAGAATAAATAATTTTAAAGGTTAGTTTGGAGACGTCACCATGTCAGCAGCTACATGCATCCTGTCTGTGCTGTTTCTCCTGCTACCGTGCTGGTTGTTGGTTACAGGCAGAACATTGGCTTAGGTTATAGAAATTTTATATTAGAAACAGGAACTGAAAAATGGCCCTCTCTCAGTTATTATTACAGAGAAATTTGTGAAAACATTGCCAAAGCTGGAATACAGTAGGCTGAAGGAACAAATAAGGTGCAAAGAGGTTCTACGTGAAAGCTAGTGTAAGGGGAAAATATATTTTTGTTTTCCAGTCAAAGTCTGGATTGATTTGATATGCTTGTGTTGCTCTGGTCATGTAAATGGTATTTTCATGTTCAGTTAAGTTTTTGTTGCTTCTTTCCTTGCTTGCTTAGTGGTTCACAATGTAGGGAATTTTGGTAGAGTTTAAAGCCTAAGATATTCTAAAAAGATGACTGTATTTTAAGACTTGAGGTGCTGTTCTTTATCTGCCTAAAGTTCTTTGAAGGACTAATGTAAAAAAATATAAAAAATAACAAACCCTAAACCCACCCAGTTCCTTGCTTTAGAGTTTTTAAAAGGATTTTAATGAAACAAAAGTATACTTGGGTTTAAGTGCAAGCTGTTTTCTTTTTGAGCAGGTACATTATGCAATGAACCCTCAGTTAGGATTTTTTAAACTTAATTATGATGAGGGATTCCTTGTTTCTGAGAGTTGAAGAAAAACATCTTAAAGACTTGTGCATCTGATTCAAAGATTACAGTGTCAGGAATTCCTAAGCCAAAGTGTTTCCTTAACGATGACTGTTTCCATCAAATAGTTCTAGCCTCTTTTATTTGGAGGCACAGAACCTTTGTTCCAGAGACAAAGAAATTACTTGTTACTGTTAGCAAGTGGAAGAATTTGACAGAAATGTTTGAAATTTGTTCTCTCTGTTGTATACAATGCCTGGGCTGAGAACATTTTTCTAACTGAATGTTTGATGCAATAATTGGTCCTAAAAATAAATCTTGATGAAATACTAGCATACTTCAGACAGTGTCAACACAGACATATTCTCTTTTGCATCTTCCTGAGTCTTGCGTTTTCTTGCTAGATAATCTTTGTGCCAAAAAAGCAGTTACGTCTGCCCTCGCCCTGCATTCCAACATTGCTCGCCTCGTCAATGGCCACGTGGTCCTTAATGACAAAGGAGAGGAAGATGGAGCCGTAGGGGAAATTGTCTTCAAGCGAGCTCTGGCCATCCTCATGTGTGGTAACTACAGAAACCAGTTACTGAATGTCTTTGTGCGTCCCTCTCTGGTGGCACTCGCCTTGCAAATGACGCGCAGCTTCAGGAAAGGTACGTTTGGGTAGCTCGGGGAGCCCACTGGCTTTGCTCCCTGTCATGTCCTCAGTGAGAGGAGCAGGAGATTCCTGTGATTAATAGTGGGAGCTACTTAACAGCTTTGTGCCAGGACTCTGAATAAGGTCCTGTGGCATAAATTGGGTGTGTTGGGAGGGGACTTTGTTGTTGTTGTTTTTTTTTGCCATTTTTGTTTACCCCTTGATACTTTTGAAGTATCAGGGCATATTCCGGTGAGACAGCAGGCACGAGGTGATTCCAGTTCTTATTTACACTGGTCTACAGTCCAGAAGTAGTTGAGTTTAGAAGCACATATTTGGGAGTGCTTAGGTTGCTTCCCTCGTGGTATACGTTATGAAACTGCCAGAGGGTGAAATGGCCCTGAAAGTGGCAAAAATCACTTCTTGTATTTCAGCTGTTAAATAAAAGCATGCTAGGAAGTGTCTCTTGTCTCTGTAGTGCAGCTTCCTTTCATGGCAGTGTAAAATAAACTACAACTGTTAAGTTTATTGTTTTGTTGGCATTTAGCAGACTGGCTTTTTAGGTTACATATTACACAAAGCTCACATTCACATACAGTGCAGCCAGTTCTCAGCCTTCGTTCTCTTCCCAGTGCTGTTCCTGAAGTGTTTCAGTGCTTTCCAATACTTGGATCGTTAAGTAAAACTTCAAAATATATACCTTGGTTTTGTGCAGCATCTGATAGTATGGTATTTAATGTATGTTCTTAGAAGCTACAGTCCCCTGTTTTTGCCTTCGGTAAAATCTGAACCGAGTACTTTGACTACTTGCTGTTTTACTGTGGTGATTTCTGTTGTATATGTACTCATGGTTTTAATGTCAAGTTCAAATTTTATTTGAGGTAGATATTCTCTTTCAGGAATAATACTAGAGAGTAAATATTTTCTCTAAAATAAGGAGTGAACGGCTTTTCAATGGCATCTGTTTAAATTATGTTTTTTAAAACAACACTTTTACATTATTTTTTTCAGAGGAAGTCTACAGCTGCTTCAGCATCTTGAGAGATGTGTTCTCTGACGAGTTCATCTTCTTTCCTGGTATTTCATTGAAGGTAAAAGCATCCTTTATACAAAAATACTGATTGTGCATAGCACAGCCAGTTAAAATAGCATCTGATTTTGGGGCTCTGCTTAACACATGCCTTGTGATAAATACCTGCAGAGATATCAGCTTAATCGGTAAGTGGGAGGGAGAACTTAAAAGAGGGTCATGGTGTAGGTAGTCATTAGGTTAGTTGCAAAACATTGTGTGAATCCACAAGGTTGCATATGCAGTCTTTTTTTAATTCCTCCACTGTGTTTAAAAAAAAAAAAAAAAAAAAAAAGCCTGAAACTTCCTAGGTCTGAACTATTAAAGTGAGCTGTAGCAGAAGTTTGGCTTTTTTTTAAAAAAACTACCAATCTTCTAGAATGGATATAAAAATTAGTAGAGCAGTCTTTTTTTTTTTTTTTTCTTTATAATGAAGTGTAAATACTGTCCTGTTCCTTTGCAGTTATGAAAGAGACTTTAGGCTATGAAGAAAGTGTTAATGTAGGTCTAATTGTCTAATTGGACTCTTTCGCAGAGTGGGTATGTTCTGTCAGCACAGAAGCAAAAGAGGAGTTTTCATTGAGGTTATAGCAGGGTCATTTTTCCTTAAAGCTCTTGCAGGCTGTGTAGCAGAGGGGGCACTGCTGCTCTTTCAGAAAGTTAAGCTATGGGTCCTATACCAATTACTGATCAACCATTGTATGTCCTTGTTATCTTTGACAAATAGAGTATGCAGTTCTAAATTTAAGTCCTTATTGTCTTCTGGTTGATTATAGTCCTTCTAGTGCAGCTGTGATCGGCTGCTTTGTGTAGCGCGATACGTGTGGTCTGTGCTGCTGGGGCTGCCGGAGCACTGTGCCAACACCCAGCACTGTGTGTGTTAGAGCACATCTCCCTACCACCTCTCCTCCAGTGCTGTATCTACCTCTGCAGCATTTATACAGCAGCTGGTGTTCCTCTTATACCTTGAAATCTGAACATTACAGTGCATAGGTACACTTTTTTCTAGTGTATAGTGTTAATGGCTTTGAGCTCTTTTAGACTTTTATTACTGGCAGTGTCTTGTGTGGATTCAGATATTACTCTATGAGCACTAAGAAGGAAGTACTTAGAGTAAAGCCTGGTTTAAACCTCTGCAGATGAAATCTTACAGAGCTAGGAAGTACAGCCTGTGAAAGTTTTTGAAGTGAAAGCCTCACTAATTACACAACGGTGTCCCTAGCAGAGTCTTAGGGAAGCTTGAGTTGCATTGTATTTGCCTGAAAGCAGCTTCCCCTCATTCCACCCGCCTTCCCATATCAGCATTACTGAGACAAAGCCGGTATTGTTCATGCGTGCTGCCTTGTTACAGCACTCTGTGTCTGCACGCTCTCCGAAAACAGCTGGACACAGAAAAGATGTGAAAACTGCAGGCAGTACTTTGATCCCTGCAGGACACGCTGTGTCAGTTTGTACACGTCCTGCAGGGTTGGACCTGGCTCTGGTCCAGCCAGCTTGAAAAGCAGGTGAGCACAAATTTATTAGTGAAAATTGGTTTGACGTCATACCCAATACAAACTGTAAGTCCAGGTGCAGATTTTATTTGGGTTTAAAACAGCTTAAATGTGACTTTTGTTAAATGTTAAGGCCAAATATCTAATAGCGATATTTAATTGTGATCTTTCCTGCATTAAAAAAAAAAGAAGGTAATTTACGTAACAATATTCAGGATGCACGACTGTATTAAAATCTCAGCAAGACACCCCTCTAGTCACCCACGTGTCTGTCATGTCCATTCCCTCCCCCTTCTTTTCCTCTGGTAACGGAAGGAAAATAATTTTGTCACTGACATTTCCACAGTCTGTATCTTTTGGCCATTGTGTTGCCCTTTTTTTGTAGACAGCAGGTCAGTGAACTGTGTTATCATTTATTGCTAACAGTGTGCATGAGATAAAAGAAAGCCCTGACTTAAAAATAAATAAATAAAAAAAAAAATTAAAAAAAATTCAAAAAATCCACCACCATCACCAAACAAAACAAACAAACAAAAAGTCCTTAAAATAGACAACTTGTCTGTATTCCGACAGAATCCAAGGGAATACAAGCTGGCTGTTACAATAGCAACCACAGCATCTTTCTAAGGTCCTAGGCTTGTTGTACTTCCAGATTTGCTCTAAGATTGTGTTTCCACTGCCTTTTTTAGAAGGGTGTTTCTGGTGTATAGGAAAATTTTGGTTCATGCTTCCAGAGAACCAAAGTGAGAAATGGAAGAAGTGTCATGTTGTGTTTTTGTTGTGGTTTTGTTTTGATTTATTTTTTTGTGTTTGTTTGGTTGATTTTGTGGAAAAAGTCTCTGCACTTGCTGTAGATGTTAACATTTCAATTGTGGTTCTCTCTCCCAGGATTTTGAGGAAGGATGTTTTCTACTCACAAAATGTGATGCAATTCAAACAACTCAACAGGAAATCTACCTTACTGACAAAGGAAGTGTTATAGTATCTTTCTTGTCAGCTATGTTCAGACCTTTTGTGGAAGGTTATCAGGTAGGCTGTTTTCCAAAAATTACCTTTTTTATCCTGTGTTTTATATGAAAAGTAGTAGAGTAGTGATAGTTCTGCAGTACAAGGAGCGACTGTTTCCATGGCTGGAGAATGGAAGAGTTGAGAAATAGCAGTAACAGGTATCTTAACATTACCTTCCCTCTAGGAACCTGATTTCAACTTTTGGCTCGGACTTCTCAGAATGACTAAAGCAGTAAGCTGCTTTGTATTGTGACGAGCTATTGGGGGTATATAAGCTTCACAGGGAGTATGCTGCTGGCAGGCTCCCTTGCTCTTTCATAGAGGAACTCTTGCTTAATTCATTTTGTGTCTCGTGTCTCATATCTGGTAGGATTGTGTGTGTGTGTTTGTTTTTTCCCCCAAAGGTTTTAATATGGCTAAACACTTACAATCCTGTAATATATAACCTGCACAAAAAGAGGAGGCTAAAATCTCTATGTCAGCATAACATTGGTGGGAATGTAGATGTTTGAACCTCGTAGATGAGGGAACTGTTAATGATCTGGTGTATGACTTAGGCTGGTCTGTACTGATTTGCCTGATTTTATTGCGATCTGTAAAAACAGATAGTGCTTTAATAGAATTATACTGGGTTTGATTGCAAGAACAGAAATGTTAAATTGATGTCTAAGGTAACCATTGCAGTAATGTATGCTGAGTCTTTTAATATTAAGATTCTAATGCACGCTAAACAGTAATAAATTTTTCAGATGTGCTATTTAACGATACCTTTTGATTTCCTCCCCTATCTTTTCAAAGTGTAATAACGTTATTTCCTCTTGGGGACGTCTTTGTAACTAATAATAAATTGACAATCACAAGGAAAGAAGTGCTGATGTTTATTTTCTTGTACTGTTAGTTAATTTTCAGATACCTATCAAAGGAAACAAGAGAAGCCTTTACGGAGAAGCAATTTGTACCTGGAGTCCGCAACTTTGTTTTTCAGCTTCTTGAAAAGGGTGTGTACAGCTGTCATGCAACATGATTTTATGAGCTTAATCTGTTAATGAACAGTGGTAAAACTTTTGTTTTTTCTGCTCTCTGTAGGGAATACGCAGTGTTATGAAGCGCTGTCTTCTGACATGCAGAAAAACGCCTTAGCAGCTCTCGTGCAAATGGGTGCAGTGAAGAAGAAGAAAATGTGAGTAACGTTGGCTTTTTGGTATATAAAAGACAATGTGGGGTTTTACTGGAAATTCTTAATGACTGATCTGTTAGCATTAAGCAGTACAGCACACACCTGATCACCTGAGCATCAGTCAACTGAAGGTTGATTGGATTTACCTGAGTCGTGGTGAAGACCCAGGTAGTTGCTTTCTGTTCGCATTGTGCAAGCAGAGTGGAACCCCTCAGAGTGAAAACAGTCCCACAGGACACAGCAACAGAATTTAATAACTCACTACTGGGCTTCTTCTGACTCCCTTTTCTAAACCTTTTGGTTTTCAAAATCTTTACCAGGGCTTTGATAAGCAAATGGAACAGCCCTGCTTATTCTGTGTGTTACAGTAAGCCTCATCAGGCAATGTAAGCAATAATCAGGAATACTAATACTTTTTTGTGTTTTGGCACTGACATCTCAAATCAACTCCAATGAAAGCTTAGACGTTAAAGTTACTTAACACAGTTCCCCAGCCTAATATTAAACAACAGCTACATGTATGCTTATACAGAAACATGGCTACATATATTTCATGTTATCAGATTAATTTGTGTTGAGGTGGTACTTCTTATATTTAAAATTATAACCATAGAAGACCCTGCTACAAGTCCCCACATTGTCTTGACTGTTTCATAGAACAGTGTTGGCAGCTGATGACCTAATTTTTTTTTGTCTGTCGAGGAAATGAATTGGTTAAGGTTTGTATTGCTCTTGGAAAGCGCACAAAGTGCTGTTGTTGTATGTCCCCCTGCTATGTCATTATGCTAACTAAATGTCTGTAGCTGAATTCCCCTTTCGAGTAAATGGAATAAATCAAGTGCAACAGATTTTGAGATCAGCAGAAGGTTTGATTCAGTTTCAGTGACACAGTCTTGAAAATTGTACCACTGAAAACAAACAAACAAATGTTCTCTTCTTGTGGTTATCCCCAATAAAAAAACGAGGGAATACAGACACAGGGGGTGTAAATGAGAGGAAAGATAAACCCTAACATACCTTGAATACACTTTTGTTTAAAAGTCTGCTGTGACCTAAAAATTGATAAGTATGCTGGTAGGATGAAGAATGTGATGACATTATGAAAATGTTTCATTCAGATTATTTGTGTAGAAATGACTGAAATAAGAGATATTCATTGAAGTAACAATTTTGTGTTTTTTTTTGTTTTTGTTTTGTTTTAACTGTAGGTCCAATGGATTCACTTACAGTGTAAATCAAGAGGCTGTTAATAAAATCCTGGATGTGTTTGGTGAGTGTCTTGAGCGGTCTCTAGTTCATTTGAAGAGAACTTCTGAAGTTACAAAGGAGTTTGGTTGTTAGGCATTGGAACAGGCTGCCCAGGGAAGTGGTTGAGTCACCATCCCTGGAGGTCTTTAAAAGACATTTAGATGTAGAGCTTAGGGATATGGTTTAGTGGGGACTGTTAGGTCAGAGGTTGGACTTGGTGATCTTGGAGGTCTCTTCCAACCTAGGTGATTCTGTAATTGTGTGAGTTTGGACAATGAACTCACATTGTCCTAGTTAGACCTAGTGTTTTTCCTAAAAAAGGATAGACCTAGTGTTTTTTCCTAATAGCTCCTCATATAAACCAAAAGGTAATTTAATGGAGCAGTTGCAAGTAAGTGATTTTTTTTTTCCTTCTTCTTTTTGTCAGATGCCAGGATACCTGTACAGAAGCCTGTGGCTGCAAGACTTTAAGTGGTTTTTGATGCTGTGACTGGACATGAGTACCTGCTGGGGGCACAGACCACTGCCGGAGTGGAGCGGGGACGGCAGCAGACCAAGCTCACGCCTTGTCCGTCTGTCTGGACGTTGTCAGCGTGCGAGGCAGAAGCAGGCACCAAGGCTGTGGAAGGGTGGTCTTCACCTGGGGTACTTCCCCTAACCACTTAGAGACTGCTGCCGCCGCTGGCTAGAGTTGTATTTGTATACTCACCTGTGGTTTGCTTTGTAAAATGGATTAAACCTTTTTTTTTTTTTTTTTTATTTGGATACCTATTTAAAGAGAAGCGCACAGTAACAGCTACTTAAAATACATTTTTTAGACTCGTAAAGAGCCACCTGGTCAGTCTCAAAGCTTTCCCTGGCGAAGCTGTAACGGGGGGCACCGACGGCTGCGCATTAAAACGAGCATCCAGACAAACGCCTTGCCGGCTGCCTGTGTGCGGGACGCGGCCCGGGGGGTTAAACCCTTGCGGGGAGCCGCGGGTTTTACCCCGTTGCGGTGCCGAGCGGGGCCGCTGGGGGCTCGCTGCGCTGAGGCAGCGGGGCGGAGCCGTTGGCGGGCGGCCGTTGGGCGGCCGTTGGGCGGCGCTGAGGTGCGCTCCGCCCGGCCGCGGCGATGGCGGGCGGCGCGGAGCTGGGCTTCGCGGCGGAGACCGGCCCGGAGGACGCGTGGCGGCTGCGCAGCCCCTACTTCCCCTGCAAAATGGGCGGCCGGCCGGCCTGGCTGGGCGAGGACGGGCTGCCGGGCCTCGGCGACCTGCGCTGCGCCCGCTGCCAGCAGCCCCGCGCCTTCCTGCTGCAGCTCTACGCGCCGCTGAATGACCGCCGCGACGCCTTCCACCGCAGCCTCTTCGTCTTCGCCTGCCGCGGCGCCGCCTGCTACCGCCTGCCCGGCCCCGGCGGGCCGCTCTGCGGTGAGCCCGGGGGGTGGTGGCGGGGCGGGGGGCGCCCCGCTGCCCGGCCCGGCCCCGCTGCCCGGCCCGGCCCCGCTGAGCGCCGCCTCTCCCCGCAGTGTTCCGGAGCCAGCTGCCGCGGCGGAACCGCTTCTACCCCGAGGAGCCGCCCCCCGAGGATCCCCCGCCGGGCCCCCTGGCTCCTCCCGAGCGGCTCCACAACGGCGCCCGCCTGTGCCGCGTCTGCGGCTGCCTCGGGCCCCGCGCCTGCGGCCGCTGCCACCGCGCCTCCTACTGCGGGACCGAGCACCAGGCGCTGGACTGGCGCCGCGGGCACCGCCGCACCTGCGGGCAGGCCGGGGATGCAGGTGGGTCCCCAGCGGGCCCCCAGCCGGGCTGGATGTGAGAGCTCGGGGGGCCGCTGGGGTAGCGCTGGTGGAGGGCTGCGGATGGCGGTGCTGGTAGGGGTTGGCTGCAGGATGGAGGGGTGTGGGGTCGCTGTTGTTCCTGACACGCTGCTTGTGCCCTCTGCGGGTTGCCTTTAAAATGCCTTCGTAAAGGAGCACACGAGGTGATGACTAAAGCGACACTGTGCAGGTCAGTAGAAAAAAAGTACTTCAGATTTGTTTTAGAAGACACCCTTTTCTTACGCCAGCCCTTCCCTCTCACTCTGACATCTCATTCACACTTCTGGGATGTTCCAAGGACAAGTACAGGGTGTTTAAAGTATTTGATAGTGTGATGTGACTTGGTGAGCATGTGCTGTGGCTCTGTTCAGGCATTGAGCTAGTCCCTCCAACCGGGGCTGCAGGAAGTGGAAGCAAGCAGTAAGTAAAAGAAAGTGATTCATGCAATTCAAGTTATGGGTCAGGCTTTTGAGTCACGTAACTGGAACTGTGAGAATATGAAACAGAACACAACTAGTGCTATTGTTACAGAAGGCATCGTTGATGCATCTGTGGAAACTTTGGCTCCTCAAAATATGCAGTGGGCAAATATGAGGAATAGTGTGGCCTCAGAGTACCCAATGCAGACTTGACTTGTGTGCATATGCTGCTTAGAATGGGATATGCACAGAGGTGTCAAACTGCAGTTCTTTGGGATTTTATAAATGCAGCCGCTAATACTGTCTGTCTTCCATGTCACGTGGAGTTACAAAGGCTCAGAGCAACACATCATTTACTGTAGGTTTTCTACTCTTGTTAGAATTTTTCTTATTTTCGTATCAGATTTAACAATGATGTAGGTTTGTTTTTTTTCACCCTTGCCATGTTTGGGCGGTATTATTGCTTCGCAGCTTGCTGTAGATACTTTTGGTGAGAAGAACGTGAAATATGAATTGGCGTTGTGAAGTGGTGTTTTCTGCTTTGCAGATAACTCGGAGAATGCGGCGACAGCTCCAAGCGAGGACAAATTCCTGTTCCCAGAATATGAGATTGTGATAGAATCCGAGGAACCAGAATTTCCTGCTGACGATGATGATGACGAAGGAGCTGCAGGTACATCAAAGGAAGCGGAAGAACAGGAGGAACACAGAGTTAGTAGCAGCACAGGTAAGAAACATGACGCTGCAAGTCTTCTTAACGAAGCCTGTATTACCTCTTTAAAATACCACATGCTGTTATTTTTAAGTGTTCCATCTAAGCTACTGGTGACAAAAAGCTGTAGTCAGTAGCGGTGCAGGCTTTTTGTATACATCCCATATTAATTAAGTGTGTTTATGGGAGAGACTCACTGGGCCCCAGCCCTCCTGGGAGTTGTTAGAGCAGCTGCTGCAGATAGCTGGGAGCATACTGTGCCCTTGCGTGCTTTCCTCAAGTAAGGAAAAACTTCAGTGAGGTGAGCAGGGTCCTGAGCATCTGCTTCTTTCTGGACACTGCTGGAATCAGGAGACTGGGTTAGAGGCTCTCAGTTTAGCGTGTTTTAATACATGGAAAACGCATACTGAACCTTGTTGTCTTTGCCAGAAGGAAACTGTCCTGAGGTCATTTTCGTTGCCCTTGAATTCAGAACTTGAAGTGCAGGCCCTTTCTCCACAAAATTAATGTGTTTGCAGTCACCGCACAGGCTTTGCACACACCCAAGGTTTGCGGTTACAGGGGAAAGCTGCTGGGTTCCCAGCTGGCCCTAAAGCTGGCTGGAGGCTGCTTGATGCTCCACATTGATGTGAAGGTGGGAGGGCTGTGGCAGGAGTGCAGCAGACGCCCTCCTCAGTGATAGAAACTGGAAGTGTGTCCTGTGTGCAGCATGGGTGGCCTTTTCCAGATGTCACATGCTGAAGGCTTAACGCTTAGTGATCCCTGCTGGAAGCTATAAACGTTGGTAGATGACCTCCTTCCCTTTCTAATGTGCAATTACTCATGTCTATGGTTAAAATGCTACTAAAACTAATAAACGGATGTGTGCCAGGATCTTAGGTGTCACAAATTAAAAAACGTGTCTTAGAGTGGTGTACACTGGGAATGGCTGCGAACAAAATACACTTACAGATGCAACATTGTTTTAAATTTTTGGCTGTCTTGCATTAACCTGTAATGTTTGTGGGTTGTGTTTGTTTGTTTGTTTTTTCTTGCTTAGGTGAAGGGAGTCAGTCCTTAGATGAAGAAACACTGGAGGCAATGGCAAAACACGAGACTGAAGACGACAAGATTTTCCGCATGTTTAAAGAGCGAATAGCTGCTGAACCAGAGCAGGTCAGAATATAGGTATATGAGGCATACATAGAACTTGCAGATTCTGGCACAGCATTGTTCTCCACCTGTTTCACTTCCATGTCTGTGATTATAAATGGTGATGGAAATGCCTCCTCCTTCTCTAAACACTTTAACGTAGGCTAATCTTCTGTAGGGGCCAGATCATATAAAACATGCAACTATTTAAAACAAAAACACAGTTCCTGGTTCCATGCAAAGGAAACACATGAAAGGAAATCCATGAAAGCAGAGGAGGAAGCAGCAAGTTTCTCTGTTTTTCAGCTTGCAGCTCAGGCATTAGGGTGAGCGTCTAAGAAGTAGGAGACCCTGAGTCTGTTTTCTCCTTGCTTGGGGTAGGTGCATCATCTCCATGCATAAGTGCCCTCTTGCTGATAAGGCCTGATTAGCTATGTAAGTATTTAGATAGTAATAGAACAAAATACAAATGCCTGAAAATACTTAAATCTTGGACAGTAGGACAATCCCCTTGCGTTTAGACTCAAAACTGCAAACAGAAAGAGCTGTGCTGCATCCCTGACTTCTCTGTACACTTCTATGTACTCATCTAGCAGTCCTCTCTGCCTCCATCTCAAAGCTAAAATACCTGTCTAGCATTTATGGGTCCCTTAGTTTGAGAAATACAAACTACAGTGATCTAGGGATAAATTGCAAAGAAGGCTACGTGAATACTTACACAAGTTTTCTTAACCAGCTGAGTCCATGCAAAGAACAGTTTTGTTTAGAATTCTGCATTTGCTGCTGATTGACTTGTTTCTACACCCATCTTACGCCTTTGTCTATGTCAGTAACCACTCATTTTATAACCAGCTGAGAAGGCAGTCTCGATCACTTAACCTTCTGCTTAATTCTAGATCATTAGATACTGCAGAGGAGGAGAAGGCCCAATCTGGGTATCAAGGGAAAATATCCCCAAAGAACAAGATATCCCAAATTGTGCATGTGGTGCCAAAAGAGTATTTGAATTCCAGGTATGTAAATTGATTTAAAGGTAATACAGGTAACGTAGGTCAGACTTAACGGGTCTAATTATATAGGTATTGACTTATGCTTAGAGCAAAGGAGTTGAAGTTGCTACTAAATAATGATGCCAATTTGTACAGAGCCCGTATTTACTATTGCAGTTGCTTCTCCCTATAAGATTTTCACATTTAAAAAGTATGTTTCCATAGAGAGAAAGAGGAGAGAGCTGTGGGCTACCTCTAACCCCTTTTTTTTTCCCCTGAAGATTATGCCACAGCTCCTGAACTACCTCCGGGTTGACAGCCTTGGAGAGAGCATCGACTGGGGAACGCTGGTGGTGTACACATGTGCTGAGAGCTGCGGGGATGAAAATGAGTACATTGAGGAGTTCATATGGAAACAAGACTTCTCTGCATCCTCTATTGAATTTCCATCAAGTTCCTAAGTTGCATCTAAATGTTACGTTTTCCTTGTTTAGTGCATTTGTGCATTTTGTAAGTAGGTAACTGAACTAACATCAGTGACACCTGTCTATCCTGTAACAATACAACTACTAGGAGACTGTGACAGCCTCTTTATGGTGCTCCAGAGGAGCAACTTCAACAAGCCAGATGCAATTATTAATTGAATTTTGGTTCAAATCTCAGTTCTGAATGTTTAAATAAAGCTGAGATGTTCTTGGACTGGTAAGCGTCTTTTGTTGGTGGCTGAACTTTAAGAATTTAGATGATTGTCTGCCAGGGTTTTCTTTGGGCTTCTCAAAAATGAACTCACAGAGAAAAGCAGACTGCAGCAAGATGCTCTGCAGGCATACAGCAGTCATAGCGAAGGCGAAACTGCTCAACCACTCAACGTGCAGCCTAAAGCAACAGTTGCTACACATCATAATTCTTGGTAATTCAGTTTGACTTAAAAACATTAGCAGAATGCAGAAATAGTTCAACTCTAGCTGTCTGATGCAGAAGCAGCTTAAATGTACTCGGGGATGGCCGGCTTTGCCTGTCTGCTACCTATTGTTTGTGGTGGCTGATTCTCACTCTGAACCGTACCTTAGCACTGCTGCCTTGGCTGAGGCTTAAAACAAGTGCCTCCTGTGGGAATTATTTGGGTATGTGACTGCTGTATAGCTGAGGCAAGAGAAAAACAAAATGGTAATGTTTAAGTTACCATAGTGGCTACCCCTGTGGCTAAGAGCTACGCTTCCAGGAAAGATCAGGAAAAAGCATGGATGGTGACAGAGTTTGCTCAAGAGCTATCAATCAGGAACGTTGGCCAGCTTACGGTGCAGCACTGACGGTGATGCAGTTCTTGGGTGGCTTGCACTTACCTTGGCAAAGCTACATTGCTTAACACTGGCTTTCTGATAGTATCAAGAAGACTAGGGATAAAGTAAGTCCACTTCAGACTTGCAAACAGTATGGCAGCAAAACCAGCCATCACTTCATCTTCTATGAAACGAAACATCAATTTCATTAAGTAAAGAGACTGTGGTTACATTGGGGTTAGTTTTAGGTAAAAGCTGTTTGAAAGAATGTGCAAGTCATAGAAAGGTTATTACTGGAAATGTACTGGAGAAAAAAAGTTTATTTTTAGTTCTCAGCCCATTAAGCTTCAAGCACAGTTCAAAGGGAAGATTTTGTACATGCTGACTCTAGTTGGAAGGGCTTTGACATTTTACAGGAACACTAATATAGTGAGACTGGCATAGTTGGTAAAATACAAAAGTAATTTAAAGAAAGCCTAGAAGCTAAGCAAGAATCTTTTGTTCCAATTCACTCAAGTGTAGTTATTTAAGACTTGCATAAATCCCATCTGTTGAATGTGAAGCAACACATACTTGAACACAAACTTCTTTAACCAATCACCCCCTGTTTTAACATCCTAGAAATATTCAAGCTAAATGGTGCCAAGGACATGGCTACCGGTAAGCAAGCCAGAGTACTGTTAAGATTCTCCTCAAACTGACAAGTCAGTTACAGTAGTGTATGTGCTTTTTATAAATCCAGATTAAAAAAAAAGTTTAATACATTTCACTCTACCAGCTGCATAATTTTAAAATTCAGTAAGACAGTTCCCGTAATTGTATAAACAGGGTTTATTGTACATGTGGAGCTGAAGGAGGAAAGAGGAGGAATATATATATTATATATATATGTACAGTGAGCCATTTTCATTAATAAATTTATTCTGTCTTGCTTAATACTGGAAAGAGGGAATGTGTCTGGCACAAAAAAAATTAAAATTGAAAAAATTTAAAAGCTTAAGTTCTTAAAATTATAAAAACCATGGTCTTACGGAAGAAAATTAAAACATATATACATGGCAACTTAAGTGGTTTATACACTGAGTGACACAGTTGCAGTTGTCTCTTAAACCAATTTATGGATTTTCTATTAATAGAACTGGCATTAAAACTATTTAAAAGCTAGAATATAAATAAAACTTGAAGAGACTGCTCCAGGAACAGCCCAGTAAAGCAACTCACAGTAACTCAGTAGACGTAATCAATATAATTCCCCTTGAGCATCGGGGAAGTAGGCACTAACTGGGAAATAGTCCAAGTCCTGGTGTTGCAGTTTCACTGAAGTCCATCTCGTTACTGCTGTGCCATATGCAATGCCTTTTAAAATGTACCCCCAATTTCTCTGAAACTTGTAGAAACTGTTACGTTGTCTTTCTGAAACCCTTTAAAATAGGATAGATGTTTTCAAATGCTTCATAGATTTCTGCTCGAACTTTAGCGCCTAGGAAAAGAGAGGGAACTAAGTCAGTTTATGCCTTTCTCCAGCATTAAATACTTCATTTTAGCTTTTAGAATGTTTATCTGAATGCAGCTTTATGTATGTGATCCCTATTTTTACATCTATTTTTTAAAAAACACATTTCATATAAAGCATACTTTAGAATAAACAGTGAAAAAGATGATAAATGAAAAAAAAACTTTCTGGACTTTATTAGCCTCTTTGCACTTAATGCTATACTCACAAATGAGATTCTCCTAGGCAATTTCTGAGGAGACCCAACTACAAAGCACAGCCCATGGGGTGTTTCTGCAGAAAGGCCTAACCAGCAGTGTTTTCTTCAAGAGAGTGCAAACCCACGGGGAAGCAAGGTCTGGAAATGGAGGGTGTTGCAGAAGCCTACCACCTGCTATGGCGAAGGGGCATTCTCCTCCTTTCATCTGCGAGCTGCATTTTTCCCTACACAGTAAGGCTCAGCACAACAGGAAAAAGCAGGGTGCAGGTGGAGTGCCTGAGGTGAAGGAGGTCCTTGAGCTGGGCCACCTCCCCTTCCCGGGCTGCTGTGCCAAAGGAAGATGGCAGCAGCCCCCAGCCAAGCTGCTATAAAGCAGTCAGCTCAGTCACGCACCTAACGCACAGAAGCAGGCTTTCAGATTTTCCTAGGCACATTACCTGTGCTCTTAACTGCTTTTGGGGCACCTGCAGTCCCAATTAGGATTCATGATCACTGCTTATACGGCTTTAGCCAAATACACGTGGCTTGCTTTGTGGGATCTCCTCTGCAGAGTGCTGTACTAGCTGTTCTTTCCCAGTACTGTCAACTTTAAAGGAAAGCACCTAGCAAGTTGCAGACTTCCGATATCATTGTTAGCAATACAATCTAACTCCAACCTACTGGAATAAAATGCTGTCTTGACTTACCAGTTAAAACCACTTTTCCAGAAACAAAAATAAGCAGAACAATTCTTGGCTTGATCATTCTGTAGATTAAGCCTGGAAACAATTCTGGCTCGTAGCTGGAAGAGAAGAGAGTCACAGGCTTGCGGACATGTCCTAGCCTTTCATCTGCAGGACTGTTAGAAGTGGACAGAGCAGGGGCAGACTTCACTGAAATTGGGAGAGAGCAGCAAAGGCTATCATTTTGATGGGCTGATACTGGGCTACATCAGCTACACCGGAGGCAGAGCAGTGACAGGAACAGAGGTCTAGGTTCCTCTCTGGTGTAAGGAAACGATCTAAACAGATGCCAAATTAAGCTAGCTGGTATGCAGCAAGAATGAAACATAGGCAAGCTTTTATTTACCTGCTGAACTGCTGGTGTGTGAGTACCAGTCCTTCTAATCTGATAGGAAATTTCACATCACAGCTGCCCACCATGTTCTGAATTTTAAAATCCAAAAATTTTGCAGGAAAACCCAGTTTCTGAACAACTCTCGCATACTTCCTTGCTGCCAGTCTGGATTGTTCTTCACTGAAGGGAGAAAAATATAGCTGTTTTATTTCCTCAGTTAAGTATTACTTGAATCAAATAGCATTAAAGCACAAATATTTATCTGGAGAAAAAATGTGGCATGCATTAGGATGGGAAGGGGAGTCATATGCAAAATTTTTGCATCTAAAATTAACAACGAACACTAGTTTTTACACTTAGTTTTGGTGCTATGGTCCTCAACACGACTGGCACTGTATTCACAAACAGCAAACACAAAACTTAAAAGCCATGTATTTCACAGACTTCATATATATGTACATGAGTCCCTCCAGTAAGATGTGAAAACTTGGAATTACTACTGCTACAAAATGCTATTCCTATAAAAATCTGTAAACTGCCCAAATTACCTGCTTGATTCAGCCCAGGCACCCAGACCTGGGTTTAACACAACTGCACGGCCTTACTTGGTATTGCAGACTCAGTTTGCTTCACTTTTGTGAAGCTTTCAGTTGCTCCTAAGGCAGAGTAATACTCCTTGAATTTCAAGCATCCCCAGGCAGTGAAAGTGTTTTCTGTAGGGCTCTATTCACTCATCTCTGCCCATTAGCTTATTTCTTCTGGATTCCTAAAGGACTTCTTCAGAGCAGAATTTCTCTTCTGCCCACTGGAGTTAAGCTTACGTTTAGTTTCCAATTCTCATGCTTCAATGATCACATTAAGAACAGATCAGACTACAGGGACTGGAGACTTGGAGCTCCTGGCCTGTTATGAATGAAACTATTCAAATACCCAATCACTCTTACCCTGCCACTGCCCCTACAGTTTAAATGATTTTAGTGTAGTCTTTGAAATTCTTAAATTATCAGAGAAAAAAATAGATGACTGCAAAGCCAAAAAAAAGTGAATAATGATCTTTTCAGCCAGTTTATCAGACTGTATGAAAGACGTTCAGAAACACAACTCTCATTTCCTCTTTAGCAAGGAAGTCCTTTCAGTCACAAAAAGACACTTTGCAAAGAACATAAACGTTTGTCTATTTGAAATTATTTGGGAAGCAAGCTTAACTGGATCTGTCTGACTTTATATAAATACTGTATTCAAGCATCGGTATTCTTAAAGCACTGTGGTTTCAAAGGAAAAGACAGCTTTAATTAGTTTGCTTGTAACAGCTAAACATACCTTTTTGCTCCTGTGCATACCATTTTTCCAGAGCTGAATATAAGCGCAGTAGTACGTGGTTCTCTTATTCTCATGATCACAGCAGCAAAACGCTGAAATGTGAGTGTTGAGACTGTCAGTGACACACTACTGTGATCATCACACCAAGCCCAGGTTTGCATAACATAAGCCATTGCAAAGAAATACTAAATTCAAATATACTTGCAGATCGCTCATGATTCAAGCATTTTGAGTAAATTTTAAGTAGCTTCCCACACATGCAGAGGTGGAGTCAAAGAGGAAGGATTTTTCTGTTGCAATCCTGTTTTATTAAGATCATCTTTCATTACTAAGCATGTGACAGAAATATACTGCTAGCATTTGCGACAGAGTGAAAGAGACAATCTTAACACCAAGTCTTCCTCCATGTCTTGAAACTTGATCTGTTATAAGCAGGATGGAAGACTAAGCAAATATTTTATGATCCATTTTGTTTCTTTACCTTAAAAAGTTGGACACTGTTGTATTACTGTCAAACAACAGCCGAAAAGTCAGAATCCATGGTCTGTGTAAGAAGTCACCTCGACCACCAACCACAGTGCAACACACCAGCACGCTTAGCTCTAGCTTTGTATTTTATGTACTGTAACATCTCTACCTGCATTTACAAATATTCTTAAACTCTGAAACAAAAGACAGTGTTAAACTGATCCGGGCATCAGGCACAAACCCTGCTGTTTGGCACACGTAACCTGGACCAATTCGCCCTGCAGTCCCATAAATGCTCTGCTGATATAGCCAAGGCAGAAGCGTGGGTTACCTAACAACACATTTGACAAACCATGGCTTAGATAACACAGCCAAGCAACCTCTTTTTTTTTTTGTATATGAACACACTGACTAAAAGTCAGGAGTGTATTACATAACCCTCCTTTCTCTCTGCTGTGGAAAACAGCATTTCCATATTGATCACTCTGGCCCACAAGCTTACACAGACACCTACCCTACCTTAAGAGTATGCTCAAATTTTTGCCTCACTAGCATCTTACTCACATGCAATCGTGTAACAGCATCACTGGTACAAACTTATGGTAACAATTATTTATTATATTGGCCTGCATGCATGCTTCAACTGAGCAGAGTTCAGGCAAACCATAGCAAAATCCCACCTCCTAAACCAAAATAAACTAACACATCCTGAGAAAAGCAAACTCTTCCCAAGGCGAGCCAATTCAATTACACAACATCCACACCTCTATTAGACATAGTGTCCAACTACCGTGGTTGCAAAGATAACATTTCCAAGTGGCGACACCCAGAAGAAAAATGAAACAACATCATTTTCTTGATATGCTGCTCCAGCGCCTCTGCTGTTGCTCAAAGCTCCCCAAATTTACAAAGTCCCATGGCTTAAGTCACTGCTGTTCCAACCTGCTAGTCAGAAGCAGTGGTCAGCTTGGAAGTAGACATGCAAATATAAAAAATTGCCATTCCACCAAACCTAGCCATCAGGAGCAAGGAGATGGTAGGAGTACTGGGGGACAACATGAAAGAAGAGAGCTCGCAGCGGGGAGTGAGATGATAAAATAACCAGTAACTGCACTGCTGCAACAGCAATTTCCAGGGGAGACGCTGGATGGAGGAAGCCACGGCACACGCAGAACCACCGTGGCTCTGGCAGGAGCCCAGAAATTGAATTCTTCCTTCCGTTCTCCTTGTTGGAAGACAGGGAACAAGCTTCAGTGTCAGACATTTTGTGGCAACAGAAAAAAGGAACTTTCTGAGCACAAGCAACACACATGCCCACACGAACAGGAGCTCAGGACAGCTCCACAACAAAAAACTTTGCCAGTGTATTACACTGTTAGTTTCTTCCTAAGCATGCTGATCTTTCCACATCTACCAAATTACAACCTCATGTAAAACATAGCTACATCAGCATAACAACATTTCTTACTGATTTAAAACAGAAATCTTCAAGAAACTTAGACGATTCTGTTAACTCTCGAATAAATCTGCATATATATGAAGAATTTTTTTTTTCATTTGAGCTATTACAACAAAGTATGCTCCAAACCTGTGCTTCTGACATACCTGTTACTGGGTAAGTTCTAACACACTGCTCTTACCTTGGGATTATACTCAGCATTTCGGGCACGAAGCGCAATGGTTTTTAGGTCAAGCTTGCAGCCAAGATTCACCGTGGACACAATATTCCTGAAGATAGTTCACAGAAATACAATTAAAAAGTAAATTAAAGAATGCATTCATCTTACCCATTTTAGCATGCTTGACTGATTTCATTTTTTATTTAATTAAGAGAGTTTGAATGAGATCTTTCCTACTGACAGGCACACTGTTCAGTGTTTTGGCTCTGGAACCTCTTTTTTAGGGCATTATCTCCTAAAGCATGATTGAAGATTCCTCCTTTTCTGCCAGCTACTACGAAAAGTGTCTCCTGAGAAAAATCTCTATTTCAGTTTGGCAGGAAAAATTTTTGAGCTTGAGAGCTCCCCCTGGCCCAATCTGTGAAGCTGCTGGGAACAGGAAACAGAAGAAGTGCAGCAGGAATAGAGGAATAATACCAACAATCTTCCTTTGTATGCCCTTCAAGGAGGAAGAAGAGGTACAGGACCAAGCAAGAATGCACCAACAGATAAACCCCATGCCAGGTGACAGGAAAGAAGGTCTCCAAAAAGTTTAAGAGCAATTACTAGATGCAAAATAACCTTTGATGTTTGTTTGCCAGGAAAACTCTGAAGTCTAAAGGTCCTCAATGGGGTAGAAGTGTGTGTGTGGGAAAGCAGTAGGAACTACTCTTTCAGTGCAAAACTCACTTCGATTACCACCCATTTCTTTTTGGGCCTTCCATAAGTTGCTGTGGAAGTCTCTTTAAAGCTAAGGTTCAGTGAAAACACTTCCATACCTGAACCTCAGCTAGTTCTAGGTTGTTTTTTTATCTCCTAATCACAAACTCAGCAGTAGTAATGAACTAGAAAATGGAACATGCAACATGAATGACCATTCAGCACTAGCTCCTAGACTAACAACTAGTTTCTTCCCCTCTACACTTCTAATTTATTTTCATCTGTGAAAGTTCCTATAACGTGCTTTAACATTTCACTAACAAACTTCTATGCATAGTGAAGTAGAGCTAGCTACTTCTCTGTGAACCTGTAAATTACAAATAAGAATATATTTCAAGGTACACATATTTTGAAACACCAGATTATCAACTCAGACTATTTTATAAGTAAAGCATGCTGGACTCTTAGAGTGCATGCAGTTAAAAGTTACAATGCTGATAAATTAAGCACTAAAAGCGCGTCCTGTGACAGGACACGACACACTCACTGTAGCTGCGGCACTATCCCAGAGCTCTCGGATGCCGGTGTCGCAGGAGTTATGGGAGTCATCGGCGTCATTGGAGAGGGGTACAGAGGCGTGGTTCCCGGCAGGGGGGCTGTGGTAAGAGTCTGTGAGTGGAAGAGCTGGGGGGTTTGACCAGATGTTCCCTGCGTCGCTTGCTGTGATGTAGATTGCTGTGCTGCTTGCTGCTGCTGCTGCTGCCGCTGCTGCTCCTCAAGGATGGACAGGCTGTTGGTGCTCTGGACAGGCTGCGGTGTCAGTCCTGTGCCATACGGCATCATCGGGCTAAAAATCGGAATTCCGGGAGTCATTGCACCCTGTGGAAAAAAGCACGAAAAAGAAACCACGAATCCTGCGGTGATCCATTTTGCTTTTAAGGGAAAAAAGCGTGAAGGAGTAGTCTAAAAATAAATCATCTTAGTTGATCATATCAAACCTGAGGCATATTAGTAACTTGCTAAAAACAGAAAACCCTTGGAAGACGCCCTTCTTCCAGAAAATGAAACACAACCACCACTGCTTTGTCATTTCTAGCGCTGTTTGTCACCAGCCAGCCATGCCAATATGTTTCTCACAGTACCTTGCAAGCATGTCACAAATTTGATCCACAATTTTTACTTAAAATCACTTGAATGAAGACTGCGCCCACTGAACCAAATGCACTCATGGCACAGCTGTGGTCCATTACGTGTAAGGTAATTTAAAGGGTTCCAACAGCAATGACCAAAACTAAATTAACATTTACAATCTGTCAGCCATGCTTCAACTCAAGGGAAACCAATATATCTGTATGTTTCTTAAATCTCTGGATACATAAATCAAAGGTTTCACAATTCTGCTTGTAACTAATATTATGCTATGTGTAGTAGAATTGTTCAGATCTGCAAACAAAAACCTAGAGATGACAAGCAAGAAACAGCAGACACTTTCACAAAGCAATTCAGATCACAGTTGCGTATTAAATCATTTTTTTTTTTTACCTGAGGGGAGGCTAAGCCTTGAGCGTAGGGCGGCAAGCTGTTGTTCTGATCCATGTTTCCAGTTATTTCTTTGGTATGATCAGAAATATTTCCCTCAATTGACTGAAATTAAATTCAAACCGAAGGGGTTTCTAACCCTTTAAAGCATTCCAGCAGAGCAGCCTTTTAGCCAAGCTGAAAACGTTACAAAAACATCAGCTCCAGAGAAATGCGTGTGGCGAGCCTGAAATGCTAAACAGAACCTGCAAAGAAAAGAAGTAGTATCTTGAGAATATTGGCTAAACAAAAAGCAAACCCATCAGCTGGTAAGTTAGATAAGAGACGCCCACGTCCAAATATATATAAGAGCCCTCACCCACGCACGCACCATGTACACAACAACCTCTTTCGGGCACGCTCTGCAGAGCCTTGGGGACCCCTAGAAGTCCTTGGAGCCCCCTTCGCAAACAGTGTGAGGCATCCACGTTCGTTCTGCAAGCTTTGCTTTGAAAAACATCGATTTTTTTTTAGAATTTAAGTCCACCAGCGACAGACTGGCAAGCTTACAGCCCCACACTGCTTGTTCGGCTTTTCCTGGGCAAATTTACAGCTCGTGCTTCCAAAAATATTTTCGTTTATAGGGGGAGAAGCATCCCTGTTCAAACCAGAGCTAGGAAGCCCTCCTTTGTCCAGTTTTAGGAAATAAACCTCTGTGGCGTGCTTTATGGGGAAAAAACCAAGTGAGCGCCAGTTCCAGGTGCGCACACAAAGCGCAGGCGTGATTTGCGCGGTGCTTTTTTCTCCAAACCGTGCCTGTTACTCGCTCCATCCCCGCGCTACGGCACCAGCCGAGGCACGTGGCGAGCTGCGGGCTGCGGTGCGGCGCCAGGCGGCTCCCCGGTACCGCCCGGCTCCCTCAGCGGGACCCCCGCCGCCGGACAGCCCCAAGGTCGCTGCTGGGCCGGCCTCCCCGGGCCGTTACCGGCCGCTCCTCGGCTCCCAGGGCTGCGAGCGGCGCCCCCCCGCCGGGAAGCCCCACACCGCCCCGAGCAGCCCGGCCCCGCTCCCTGACCGTTAACGGCCGCCCCCCGCCCGTTAACGGCCGCTCCCCCTCCCTCCCCCATTCCTCCTCAGCCCCACGGCCCCGCCGCCATCACGGCCTCGTCCCTCCCGGCTCGGTTTCCCCTCCCGGCCCCAAGCACCGCGCTCCGGGGCGGTTCAGAGCAGGGATTGAGGGGCTCGGGGGGGCCCGCCCGGTACCTGCCGCGCCCGCCGCCGCCGCCGCCCAGCCCCGGCGGGCCCCAGCTGCGCCCCGCGCCCGGCGCGCCCCGACCGCGACACTTCCTCCGCGCCGCCTCCGCCGCCGCCATCTTGGGTGAGGGCAGCGCTGAGGCCGCGGGGCCGGGCTTCCGGGGGCTGCGGCCGCCATTTTGCCGTGAGGCGGCAGCGCTGTGGTGACGGTACCGGGTGCACCGGGGGGATGCTGGCTGCTGACACCGCCACCGCCGGGATGCTGCCGGGGCTCGGCCCGCAGGGGGCTGCCCTGCAGTACCGCTTCTCGCCCTACACCTTCAACGGAGGGTGAGTCCTCGCACCGGCACTGGGCCTGGGCCGCTGTGTGTGTGTGTGTGTGTGTGTGTGAGGGGGCCCGGCCGCGCCCGGGGTCCCGCAGCCCTCACGGGGCGGTGCGGGTGGGGCCCTGCCCGCGGGGCCGGGTTTTACAGCGCCCGGTGCAGCCGTTAACGGCCGCGGTGTTCGCTTCTGGGACCGTGACGGGATTGGAAACTGCTTGGTCATAGCTGCTGCGGGCAGGTGATTCCTGCCTTGAGGTGGCAGGGCCGAGCCAGCGTGATGTTGTGTAGATGTGCTCTTCGTAATATCCAACCACTTTTTAAAGGACATTTGATTATTACTTAATGGTAGCATGTGTATAGCAATCACAATGTTCTTATTTGAAAGTGAATAATGTAAAATAATGTCAAACTGAAAGAGCAATACTAACTCAAGAGGTAATTTAAAGCAGTACTGGTGTTTGATACGTGGCTGGAATGTTCTTGCTTGGAAATCCAAGCACTTACAGGAGATTGAATCTTTCCTTACCACACATCTACAATTTGTAGTTTACTGCATCTAGTTTTTGTTTTATATATTACCAAGTTTCCTGTGATTTATAGTCAACACAGAGAATCATATATGTTCTCTTCAGTGCATCGTGTCTTCTTTCCTTCAATCCTGAGTAATATGCAGAGAAATGCATAATGGGAAGCATACTAAGGAATCTGATAAGATGCTTGACACAACGTGAGTCTGGGTAGAGGGCTCTTGTCTGTTTAACTGCCACCTATATACATATATATATATATAAAGGCTGTGTCACAGAAGTCATGATGATATGAACATTCTTTTTTAAGGACGGTGTTGGCGATTGCTGGAGAAGACTTTTGCATCGTTGCCTCTGACACACGACTGAGTGAAGGTTATGCAATTCACAGCCGGGACAGTCCCAAATGCTACAAACTGTAAGTCCATACCTTGTAAGAACTGAAATGGAGGAAAGATCGATGCGTATTGATGAGCATGTCACCTGCCTGAAATGATCTGCTGCTTTCTTTATGCCAAATTCTCAAGAAAAAGGGATAGTAACAGAATTGATTTTCTGAATCATGGTGACTCTTGCTGCGATGTGCTGCTCCAGATGCAGCTGGATTTCTTGTTGCATGTTGTTGAATTTTGCTGATAACAATCTTTTTAGCATGGTACCAGACTTTGTAATATAAGCTAGGGCTTTTCTGACCCAATAATCAGAAGAACTTTTGTCTTAACTGTAGCAAAATGTAGTTCTGTAGTAACTAGTTCTGCTTTGCTGGGACATGAGTGTGCCCACCACTGTCTGTTGTACTGTGTCCCTCTAGTCAGCCGTCTGTCACTTCACAGGGTGTTTATTTTCAGAGAGGCAAACCTGTCCATAATTCATTTTTCAACTTCTCATGTTTGATGTATGCTTATCTTGACTCACCTAGATAGAATCCTCTTGGTTTCAAAATAATATAAACAATTATGTATTTTAAATGTAGGAGGTGTTTATCTGGTAGGCTGCCATCGGCTGTATAAACAATTTTTTTGTCGATGACACAAAATCATATGAGCTGATGTTTTTCCTGGCTAACTTCATACTGTGTCTTTGATTCTGTTACTGCCTAAATGGAAATTTCTTTGGCACAATGTGTATGCAGCACATGGTGAATTTGGGTAGTTCTAGTGACAGTGAGAGACAATTTTGAACTTATTTTGAAAGTGACTGCTGAGTGTTAATACTATAAGATATATGTCAGAGTTTGTAGGTTGTCACTGATCTATTAGAGTTTAAAATTCAAATGTGTGCTCCTGTAGTTAGCATTTACAAAATGCTTTGGGACTGAACGAAGAGCTAACCTACAGTATCTCTGTAGCCAAACAACTTCTGTTGTGCTGACACAGAAAACCACCTATAGTGTAAACGTTATGTAATCATCTCAAAATCTTAAAGCAGTTCCCTGGCCAGATGGAGTAAAAACGGTTTGTCTGATATGATGGAACTTGGTAATAGCTAGGGTTAGGGGTGCGTGAAGGAGTTGAGCATTTTTTTTTGGTCAGTGTTGCTGTGGAAGTCAGTAGGCTGAAGAATGACACCTGTGTGGTCCTGCACTGAATGAGTCCTTCCCAAGATGTAGGCTGCAGTTTCCCTTTAGGTGCAGGAAATACCTGTTACTACATTTTATACAACAGTTTCTGATCTTGTTGGAGAAACTGGAAATACATTTGATGTTTTCATAATCTACTGTGTAAGAAAGTGGTGTATATAGTTCATAGGGAATTAAAGTCCCGACAAAACTTTGTTTTACAGAACAGAACGAACGGTCATTGGATGCAGTGGTTTCCATGGGGACTGCCTGACGCTTACTAAAATCATTGAAGCAAGATTAAAGGTAGCTAGCTATCTCAATCTTTTTAGAAACTTCTATTCTTAGCGTTGCATTTGAGATCCACGACGTGTTTAAATATGCCTTTTGCTGTTTGTCCTCAAGTGTGTGTATCACAGTTGTAGCTGCATTGCTAGTGAAAGATCAGTCCGGTGAAATTACTGCTGTGTTCTTACAAGTGTAACATCACAAATTTAAAGGATGGAAGCACTGAAGAGGGTAATGTTCGTGAGGCAACATCTATTCTGTGCAAAATCTCACAGAAATATTAATTTTGGCCTGTAATAAGACTTTACGGTTAGACCAGTGTGTTGTTGATCATCTTGCTAAGCCTAAATCTCTTCTGTAACGAGGTTTCAAAAGTGTAATCCTGACTGAGTATAAAATTTAGTGTGTGACTTTTGCCTTGGATGTGGTGTGCCATTTGCAGATGTACAAGCATTCCAATAACAAGACCATGACTACTGGGGCTATTGCAGCAATGCTGTCCACGATCCTGTACTCCCGACGTTTCTTCCCTTACTACGTTTACAACATCATTGGTGGACTTGATGAGGAAGGTAAGACTTGAAGAGACTAAGGAAATGTTACTAGTACAACTGCACTTATTTTTATTCATGCCTTTCATTGTGGTAGAGATTCTTAAATATGAAGACCTACTCCAGAGAGGTTCCTCTAAAGAGAATTTTAAATGTTAACTAATCCCTAATGAAAATAATGACTTTTGTGTGGAAGCTACAGTGCAATGTAAAGGACTTCCTTGAGGCTGGCCAGGTGCTGTGTTTTCACCAGTATGTCCTCATGAAACTTTGATGCTTCAGAGAATCTTTTTGGATTGTGATTATGTATTTTTTTTCTTTAAGGGAAGGGAGCAGTCTATAGCTTTGATCCAGTAGGCTCGTACCAGAGAGATACTTTCAAAGCAGGTGGATCAGCAAGTGCCATGCTGCAGCCCTTGCTTGATAACCAGGTAAAATAATTTCAGTGTGTTTGGTTTTCATGATCTTGGTGAAGATTTGTGACATTCAAATTAATGTAGTTTTACTTTTGAGGAGGATTACTTCTGAAAGAAGGTTTAAATGTACTACAGGTATTATTAATCCTACCAAAATAAATTTACAAATTGTGTGCCTCCACCCTCTCAGGAGAAGTCCAGAAGTGCTGCTTTTGGATTCTGTTAAGGTTTTTAATAAGCTACAGTGGGCTCTCTCTGTTTAAAATATAGTTCAATGTTTTAATTGAGAAATGGCTTCCAGTAGAAGCTGATTGTTTTTTCCCTTGTCGGATAATGTAAATATGCCTATTACTTACCGTGAAATAATTCTAAATTAAGATCATAGAATTAATTGGGTTATATAATGCATTTTAACACCTTAACATACCTGTTTGAGATTCTCAAGTTGTGTACAAGTCATTCACTACTTTCTAAGAATGTTGCATAAAACTTGCATAAAACTGCTGGAAACTTACGTTATATCTGTCAAAAGAGTTGAGTATCTTCATGTTTAGTTTAAGCTGTTAATCGTTGAATGAGAGAAATACCAAAGCACATTTTACTCATTTGGTTCTTAGATATTGGTGCTGGTATTGTTAGTCAGTTGAGCCTGATGCCAACACAACTTAAGAGTGCTTACTGCTTTTTTAAGCACTTAATTTTTTTCAGCTAAGAAAGGAATAGCATCTTTCCAGTTTTCTTAACAATTAAAGTTTCTCAGCTTTGTTTCAGTTTTGAGCTTCATTAACTGGAGAGAATAAAACATTTTCTACCATAAGTTGCGTTATTTATCATTTCTGAATTTGAGGCGTAGTAAATCACTCTTCCAATTCTAACATTGACTTAATGACTAGAATATATTTAATGGGGCAGATCATGTTCTATTATGGGCTATTATTTTAAATTCTGGGTGCATTTAGGAAAACTTGCTTCTAAGAAATGCTTTAACTATGAAATGACTGGAGAAAGGGCTTGTGTGCAGTTCTGATGCTGCTAACCCAGTGAGAAGTTTCTGAACAAACAGATCAGTATCTTGCATATGCTGAATATTAGTAGGAGAGGCTATGCTTTATACTAGATCTGCTTCCGTTTACTTACGTATGAATATCAGCATAGGTAAAGTTCTGATCACGCAGCTATAAACTGTATGGAGGACTGCTTTTGCCAACTCTGTTTTTAAAACAGACTAATCATTTCTTTTGAAGTTGTCTAAATCTGCTCGTTCTGGTGCAGAGATTGAAACAGCTTTCGTGCTAGATGGAATGTACTTCATTTAAAAAGCATTTTCATCTCTTCTTAGATTGGCTTCAAGAACATGCAAAATGTGGAGCATGTACCTCTGACCCTGGAAAAGGCTTTGCAGCTGGTTAAAGAT